AGCAGACAGCATCTTTCTATCTCAATCCACATTTTTTTTCTTCAAATTATTTATCCTTTTTAATACAATTCGTTTCAGTAAATAAATTTTAATCATAATAAGATGAATATAATTTTTATGTCAGTTTATGTCAAATGAATCGCGTAAAAATTGAAACTCCAAAGAAATTAAAAAAATTAAATGAAATTGTTACAAATAATTTTTATTATGAATAGCTTTCATAAAACTTGCAGCAAAGCCAAGCAAATCAAACTACAACTTTTTTCTTAAAATCTAAAAATGCAAACAGCAACAGCCAGGCAGGTATTTATCTATCTATCTTTTTAACAAAGCAGCTGTCTAAAATTGAATAAACGGAAAGAAAAACATTCTAGTTTTTCATGACTGTCCAACCCAAGATAAGAATTAAATATTCTTTTTTTATATTATTCGATCCACCCTCCTCCAGTAAAGTATCTTGTCTATGACCACGCATAGAAAAGTTGATGTTCTATTCTTCCTTCTGGTCATTCCAAATATCGATCGGAGTTATATCTTGTGGGGTTCCTCTGGGGGATGAGAAGCATTTTAGCCCAGAAAACAGAATAAAATAAAGAATGAAAAGAACACGACTTTTAAGATCTACGACGACGGATCGTCGCCTTTCCTAAGATGGGTTGGTCTCCGTTGTGAATATCAAGCAGTGGTGAGAAAGAATATTTTCGTTCGATAAAAAATTGTTGTGGTGAGTTTCGAATGTTTTGTCTTAGGAATTTAATATAATTCATTAACAATGGGGGAAAATACTATTTTCGTTCGATAAAAAATTGCTGTGTTGAAATTCGAATGTTTTGTCTTGGGAATTTATTAATAACTTATTAACAGTGGGGGGGGGAAAGAATATTTTCGTTCGATAAAATATTTTGAATTGAGATTCGAATGTTTCGTATTTGAAATTTATTTTAATTCTTTATTCATGTGATAAATTCACTAAAAACGCCAGTTTTTCGTTCCTCTTCTTTTAAATATTTTTAGTAAGATGGCAATGAGAAGTTATTAATTGCTACTTCCAATTTTGATTACGGTTAAAGTTATTTTTTTTCTCTTAAAACAATCTTGCTGTAATTAAGGATCAGATGACTCTAACCAGAGTTCCTTTATTTAATTTACTTCAAAACTGGATCGATATTTACCATTATGAACAGAAAACTTACTAATCAAATAAAACTGGAAATCGCATCGCAACATGTGACATTACGACTTGGATTGAGACTGCGGCAGATATTCAAATAGCATTTTCAATCAACTAAAAATTTTGAAAAATTGATGGTGAGGGTTTTTTAATTACTTTTCGTTAATTTACACTTTTTCAATCAGCTGTGATTTATATATATATATATATATATACACACACACACANAATATATTTTGGTGGTGTACCGTTCACTTGGAAAACAAGTAAACAAAAGTGTGTAGCTCTTAGTTCTATGGAATCCGAATTTATCTCACTTATAGAATCTGTTAAAGAAATTATTTGGTTTTCAAGAGTTTTAAATGAATTGAATGTATTAGAAAATATGGAAGTACCAATTCAACTCTGTGACAACAAAGCTGCAATTTATTTTTCCAAAAATTCGATTGAAAATGTGAAAACTAAGCACATAGACGTAAGATATTAGTTTATTAGAAATATGTTAGAAGAAAACTTATTTAAATTGGAGTACATCTGTAGTAAAGACAACTTAGCAGATTTTCTCACGAAACCTTTAAGTAAAGAAAAATTTCAGTATTTTATTGATAAAGTTTATAATGGGGCCGAATGTGGAAATAAGTAGTTTCCAGTTAGAAACTTTAGTGTTTGAGTTTTTTTTTTCAGATTCGTTTCCAGGATGGAAGTAAAGGGAATTCAAGAAACAAGCATTCAATCAATGTGACGGACGAAATCGTTATCTATAAAAGAACGAACAATTTCTTCTTTCATGGAGAGGGATGAGCAGCCCACTCATCTTTTGAGTCTTTGGCCGATTGTATGAGATTGTGGATGATGATCCTATATATATATATTTGTATATTCAATTAGAATTTTAGATTTAAGTTAACCATTGAAAGTAATAATAAATGTGTTCCAGTTTATTTGTGTACTTCATGATTTTTAGCATACTCTGCTTTGTGAGATAAATTCACACCTTCGACTACTGAAGTGCGGCCCGCGAGAGCTTCTAAACACAATAAAAAAAATTTTAAAAAATTTCAATTTTTAATCTCAATTTTAAGTCATCACGTTTTGACACAATCAATTTTAACAGATTCTTTAGTAAATGTACGTTTAATGTGCTTTTTTTAAGCCGATTTTATCGTAAATATAAATGATGTTTTTAAAACAGTTATTTCCGCTTTTCTACGTGATTTCGAAAATCCCGAATTTTTATTGTGAGGATTTCATCTTAAATCTTTAGTGATTTTTTATCTTTTTTTTGCAATTCTTTCTTTTTTTTCAACAATTTTTTCTCGGCAGTTATTGCTATGCGTTCCCACGTATTATAAAAAATTCCAATTTTAAATCATGCATTTGACACGCTTTATTCGTGCTGAGTTCAGCATAAATATATTTACCCCCAATTATTTCTATACTTTTCCACATGATTTTGACGATCCCGTTATTCAACTATGATGTTATTACGACACGTGATTGTTAATCGCACAATTAAATAGTCACTATTTGATACGGTATTTCGGTACAGTTTTATTGTGAATCCTAGTTATTTTTCCTTCGTTTTTATTTCAGCAACGAATATGATTTGGTCGAATGTGGTAATGAATTGTGATTTGATCAAAAACCAAATATTCGGCAAAAAAAGAAGAAGAAAAAATCGACTGAACACCGTACACTTGGGGCCAAATAGCAAAATCTTTTAGCAGCATAGCAACACTGAAACTAAAATTTCAATGCTCAGAATATTTCCTGGAAAAACGTGTTCATAAATTAACTCTGAAAAATAAGGCCAATCAAAAATGTTTTTGAAAATGTCGAAAAGCGAAACAGAGAACATAAAAATCAATCTTAATTTTTGAAATTTTTTTTTAAAGCTGAACATTTCAGTTTTTCAATTACCAGAAAAAGCAAATAAAAAAGAATTAAGTCTATTAAGAATTACTAATGTAATGTAATGTATTAATAATTACTTTTAATAATGCTAATAAAAACTACTGCGTTATAATGAAAACGTCTAAAAAAAGTTTTTTTTTTTTATTTAAAGAAAATAAAAAAATAGAAAAAATGTTCTTAATTTTTTTTAATGAAAATCTTATGCCGAAAATCTCAATTTAAATTTTTCTCATTGCCATAATTTTAGAAGAAAAAAAATTGCTATAAAATAAATTTTATTAGTAACTTTATTTTTAAAAAAAATGCTGAGTCATAATAAAAATGCCTAAAAAAAGAAAAACAGAAAAAACAAATTTTTCTTAGTTCCTGAAACAAAACTTTAATACTGAAAATCACACTTTTCTATGTTACTGGTTATTTATATTACAGTACAGGGAAATAGTGATAATAAATTAATAGTATGAGACGTTCTGTTAAAATGCTGGGTTATAATAAAAACAGCAAAAAATGGAAAAAAATCCTTCTCAATTCTCAAAGTATCGAAAAAAATTACAAAATTGACTTGTCTGATTACAATTTAAAAAAAAAATTAATATCTATAAAAATTCGAAAATAATAAAGACTTAGAAAAATACATTTCTAAAAAATATTCTGTCGAATATTTGACTGATCATTCAACCAACGGAATTTTTCACAGTAGTGCCAAATACTCGTTACATCCCTCCCTAATTTAAATGCAATGTTATTGTAACTTGAGAAATTCATAAAATGGTGGAAAATGTGAATTTTTAAAATGTTTACGATATAAAAAATCTAATAATTAATAAAATAAAATAATAAAGTGCATTACAAAATAAGCATTGAATTTTATTTTGAACTATCACAGTTTTGTTTTTATTTTAGGCTTTTGTTTAAAACCTATAAATTTTCTTCAATTAAAATATTTAATTTGAATTTATATTACTTAATTACGACTAAACTTTTTCCTACTTTCATTCTGTGGGAATTGCATTTTGTTTTTATTTATTAGAATTTAATTCTAAAATGAGTTTTCGTATTGCATGATATGATAAAAAGAAAATATTTCTTTTCTTCAATGTTTATTTATTTTGATAAATCTATTGGTCATATGATAAAAATAGTTAAGAGATAGTAATAGTTAAGATAGAATAAGTTTTTTTTCTTTCTTTTTTTTGTAAAAAAAAAAAAGTATAAGTTTTTTTATTTTTGAATGAATTCTAATAATGGAACACTACTAAGTTATTGATATTACTAAGTTTATTAATAAAAAAAATGGAATGCTAATGTTTAAATAAACATTACTACATTTGTCATTAACATGTCTAAATACATGTGCGGCCCTTCGTTAGCCAACCTACTGTGCAAGTGGCCCTTCTCTCAAAAAGGTTGTACATCCCTAGCTTATACAGTTAAGCCTGTAATCAAGTAACATATAAAAATTCTTTACTTTTTGCTGTTTTCTTTCAATTCAGCTGTTAAATTTTTATTCTAAACAAATTTTGAGATATTTCGAAGAAGAAAAAAGGGAGTCTCGGCAATTTTCCCTTGTTTGAATTTCTTTTAATAAAATTAAAACTTAAGACAAAAAATACTCTGCAGTGCTCGCTTCTCTGCCGGGCGTTATATATATATATAGATTGAAAATAAAATACTTACAGATTTTAGTAAAATATACAGTAAGATATTTTTTATATGAAGTTCATAGTGGTAACACATAAAATTGCTAGTGCTTAATTTTAGTGCCATAGATTTTGGATAATTTTAGGCAGTAAATAAAAAGTGTACTGCCTAAACACCTAACTTACTTTTAATATCTATGTTTTTTTATTTAGATTGTTATGTGTGTGATTTAAAGATATCACTGAAACTATTAATATTTAAAATGGTAGACAATGAACAAATTTAGGGACAAATGGCACAGCTATACTATAGCTAGATCATACAAGCAAGATAAGAAAAGAAAATTTACCTTTATAGAACCATACCAAACACAATGCATTCCAACAAGAGAGCCATCTTTTGTGTGAAGTATTTCAGGAATTATGTCTCTAAGAGATTCAATAATATCTGACCTTGATGTCGGATCACAATGTTTCATGAACTGCCAGAGGACATGGTGCACAATACTATGCTTTACAACAGTCCTAAAAATGTTACAAAATGAACACTGAAATAACTGTTAATATAAGTTATTATATGCACATTTTTATATAATATGGGAAATGCAGGGTTTCCACAGAAAAAACAAACAAAATAATTGCTTTTAGTAGCCTAAACCATGAAAATAGTTGCTGTAAATTATTATAATAGTTGCCTAATATGACTAAAATATTATTAAATGACTTAATTAGCATACATCATGATCCACTTAGTCAAGTTGGTTTCAAATATGATAATTTTTATATAACGTTAGTCTTCTAGTTCTAAATTTTTATATCAAAAAAAATTTGTATATTTGCAAAAAATTAAATACTTAACTGGAACTCATTCATAAAAATACTTCATTAAAAAAAAAAACACTTTTTGCAAAATTTTTTCCCTTTATCAATAATTGATATATATATATATATATATATATTGTGAAAATGATTACTCAAATTCAGAATTCACACACCGTAATATTGTATTAAAAATAAAAACTGAAATTTTACAAAATGTGCAGAATTTCATTGCAATAGCTGCTGAAAAGGCGATCGAGAAAGAAAATAGACTTACAATTGGATCTGTGCAAATTGAGCGAATTAAAGAGTAATAACTCAAATTTGCAATTCAAAATTTGACATTTTGAAGAAAAAAAAGATTCATCATGCTCAGAAGCTCCCGTGGGTAGCTGGTTTTCAACCCAATTGATGCTATAAAAGCATCGCTCAGAGAAGAGAAAAGTCTCCTTCTCCTAAAAATAGTTGCCTTCTTTTAAGCATTTTCAGGACAGAAAAAGTTGCTCATACCAAAAATAGCTGCAAATAGTCCTCTGTGGTAACCAATGCAGTAACAGCAGCACTTAATTAACATCAGATTAGGGCTTAGTCAGGGGTACATTTCCAAATACAGGCAATCATTATTTTGATTCCCCACAGAGGAGATGGCTACCCCGCTCCAAACAATTAAAATGAAAATTAAATCTGAATACATTATTTCACTTAACTAATTTACACCAAATATGGATTGGTCACCCAACCTATACATATTTTAAAATGGTTAAAGGAGTCAAAGTATTCCTTAATAAAATGATTCAAATGGTTACAAATTTAGATTAATACTGATCATTGCTAAGTCATGATCTACTGATCATTGCTAAGTCATGATCAGTCATTGCTACTGCATTGTCTGATCATTGCTACAACAAAGAAGGAATACAGTTAAACCAAACAATAAAGTAGTTAACTGTTTTTAGCAAGTAATATACAAAATCAAAGAAAAATAATCCTTAATTGGCTGATTATTATTGACATACTGAAAACTATGGTAAATTTTAATGCCTGAAAAATATAGTGGGTGTTCTGCAATGACCTACTTCAATAAACATATTTGGAATGTTTATTGCAGTAGGTCGCTGCAGAACTAATTAGATATTTACAGTTTCATAGGTGGATTGAATGTTTATTGAAGTACAGTACAGAACCCGTTATCCGGAAACCAGAAAACCGGAACGGAATTCAATAAATTTTCCAGCCATTTTTTTAAAAAAATTATTTTTTCCTCATAAGATTTTAGGATTTTTCTTTCCTTTAAAAAAGATGTTTACCTTACAAAATCATTTTGGAAATAATCATTAGTGTATTACTCCATCGTTTTTTTCTTCTTTTTAAGATTATTTCCAAAAAAAATATTTTTTTTAGCAGGGTTTAACAATAAAAAAAAAAAAAAAAAAAAAAAAAAAACGGCTTTTTGTAGCGATTCTGAAAACCGGAAAAATCAGTTATCCGGAATAGCGATGGCCCCGATCGTTCCGAATAATCGCTTCCCTACTGTAGTATATCTTCTTCAAGTTTGGATATTTAGAATGTATTTCTTGATAATAATGAAGAAAAAAATAGCAGACACACTGTAGATCCAGAAATATTATTAAAGATATTTAAAAGAAGTTTTTTTTGCCATAAATCTCGACTGAGGAAAATAGGAAGTAAACATAAAACCCGGCTGAAATTTTATTTTTCATTGTTAATTCTTCTGTTTGGCCTTTGTGTATTATCTTTTCTGGCATTAATTTTAAGAATTAGTGGATATTTTTTTTTATCTCTTTTTTTTTTAAACAGCTGCTAGTCAGTTATTATTTTTTTTTTCATTTTAAATATTTCTAAGTACCTTAATATCTACTTATCTTTATTTTTCTAAACATTTCTATTAAAAAAGTTTTCTCTTCCCCTTACCACATTATAACAATTAAGTTTTGATTATTTTCAAATAATTTTGATTACTATTCNAAAATGGTTAAAGGAGTCAAAGTATTCCTTAATAAAATGATTCAAATGGTTACAAATTTAGATTAATACTGATCATTGCTAAGTCATGATCTACTGATCATTGCTAAGTCATGATCAGTCATTGCTACTGCATTGTCTGATCATTGCTACAACAAAGAAGGAATACAGTTAAACCAAACAATAAAGTAGTTAACTGTTTTTAGCAAGTAATATACAAAATCAAAGAAAAATAATCCTTAATTGGCTGATTATTATTGACATACTGAAAACTATGGTAAATTTTAATGCCTGAAAAATATAGTGGGTGTTCTGCAATGACTTACTTCAATGAACATTTTTGGAATGTTTATTGCAGTAGGTCACTGCAGAACTAACTAGATATTTACAGTTTCATAGGTGGATTGAATGTTTATTGAAGTAGTATATCTTCTTCCAGTTTGGATATTTAGGATGTATTTCTTGATAATAATGAAGAAGAAAAAATAGTAGACATACTGTAGATCCAGAAACATTATTAAAGATATTTAAAAGAAACTTTTTTTAAAACTAAATTTGACAAATCGACTGAGAAAAATAGGAAGTAAACATAAAACCCGGTTGAATGGCCAGAGAGATGTTTTTAACAATCAACTTCCTGTTTCCTACAGCAATAAATTTTTTTTATACAGGTTTTAATGTTTTCAGTTAGGGATGTGATGAATATTAGGTATTCGGCCCATTTGCCAAATATTCGGTTAGCCAAATGTTTGGCCAAGTATTTTTTTAATTTTAATAGATTAAATAAAAAATAATCAAAAATAGAATTTTTATTATAAGTTATCTGAAATAGTTTTTACATATAATTGTTAAGTTTTAAAATTCATGAGTTTGCAAAAATTATTCAACACTTTTGTTTTAAGAATTGAAAAGTTTTTTTTTGTTTTTGCTGTAATTTTCTATTATAGCGAAACATTTTATGATAAATTTTATTTTTCATTGTTAATTCTTGTGTTTTGCTTTTGTTTATTATCTTTTTTGGCATTAATTTTTAATTTTAAGAATTGGAGGATATTTTTTTTCGACCCCTTTTTCTTTTTATGTAGCTGTTAGTCAGTTTTTTATTTTAAATATTTCTAAGTACCTTAATATCTAATTATCTTTATTTTTCTAAGCATTTCTATTAAAAAATTTTTCTCTCCCCTTTACCACATTATAACAATTAAGTTTTGATTATTTTCCGATAATTTTGATTACTTTTCAAGAATATTTTTGAATGATTTTTTTTTTTTTTTTTAAATATTGTTATTAGGTTGCCGAATTTTTGGTATTTGGACGATTTTTTTGGCCAAATCACTTTTCATTCTTTCCTAATTTTTAGCATTAAATTTCTGTATTATCAATTTTTTTGCTAATTCTCTTTTTATTTACTAATTCTCTTTGCTAATTTTTTTTAAATTAATCTTAAATATTTCTAATAGATAACTATTAAACTTTTTTCCTTACCACACACCAATAATACAGCTAAGTTTTTATTAATTTTCAATAATGACTAAACTTATTTATATATAAAAAACAATACTTATTAATGATTTTAAAAAAAAAGAAAAGAAATATTGCTATTCAGTCACTGAATATTTGGTATTCAACTGATCTTTTTGGTCAAATGTTCGGAATTCGGTCAGATCATTATTCGTTACATCCCTATTTTCAGCCCTGCCTTTCAATAGTAGTGATTCATTAGATTTTGAGAGAAATTTATTATTACTCATATATTATACAAGAATTTACTTTCCAATCGGTGATGTTTACCTTTTTGACAAGGATTCTTACAAATATACTTTTAAGAGTTAACATGTACAACAACAAAAAATTTTCTTTCATTAATATTAAGCTTTTTTACTTATTACAAAAAGGAAATATTGTTATTAAATTAATTTCTTATCATGGTTTAAACAAAGCCCACATACTTAGTTAATTCAAATATACATTTAGTTCCTAAAAGCAGGTATAATTACATCAAAAGCACATCTCTTTATTTCATCACTGTAAAGTTGATTTCCAACATAGCTAATGCATTTCAACAAAATTAACTGTGGTTTCTTTACCGAAAAAAAATATCACACCAATCAAATCTAACCATCCAAGGTATTTTCATTTTACTTACTTGTCCAAAACTTTCATCAATTCTTCTTTCATATGTTGTATAATATTTGATTTCTTCTCTGGATTTGCTTCAAGTAGTTGATCCAGTGAATGGACATCAGTAATCTATAAAAATTGTAAAGAATAATTTCTGAGGTAAACAAACAGTATAATTTTTTCTTTTTACTATGCTAACAAAGAATTCAACATATATATGGGTGTGTGTATATATCTGTATTGGGACTGCTGCATATCTGGATAAGATTAAAATTTGGTAGTAAGAACATTTTATTTGACTCTTTTCCTCAGAAAAAATATACTCACTGAAACTACCACTTAATTAATAAGTAAAATATATTTTTTAATTTTATTTTAGCAGATTCTAATGTCATAATAAGCTACAAAAAGTGATCTTTTGCCATAGAAAATTGAAATTGACCTGCTTTGAACAAAACTATATTTTTTAATTAAATACAATGTTGTTTTTCATAACAACCATCACCCACCATGTCATGAATTAATTATTTTCATTATCAATCATGAATTAATTATTTTTTAGAGTACTTATTTTCAGATAACAATGTTTAATATTTTATAATTTTTGATTCTTAATTATTTCTTGCATCATATATTAAGCAAGCAAAAACAGATGTTAATTTCTGAGCTTATATTTACCTTGAAAAACTTGTAGTTGGGCCCAAAAAACTCTTGTATCATTTCAAATCTTTGAGGATTAGTAGCACACTCGTTAAAAGCCATTTCAACGACTTCTGATGCTTGCTACAATAATATTAATACTAGTTACAAAGTTTTAGCCTATAATATAATCACAAACTAAATAGTCAAAATAAAAATTACTCACTGAATGCCTAATAAGCTTGACAATTTTTCCATGAAATGCTTTTATAATTGTATCTTTCTGGTTTTTGGAACTAGAAATAAATCAAACAAAATTTGCTAAGTATACATAGAATATTGACCAATTTTGTCAAGTGCAAAATATATTGAAACTATGTGCAAAAATTCTTTTATGATATGCACCTTTGAAACAAAAACATAACAAACAGACTATCAAAGAAATCAAGCTGTTTAAACTAGAAGTAGCCAAAATTTAGGAAGAGTCACTTTCAATAGATAGATAATTAACCACTTAAAAATTTTCCTAACATATTACAAATTTAGTAAGTAAAAAAAAATTAATAAAAAAATCATAATTTATTAAAAAAATTTTGTTTTATTAAAATAAGCTACATTAAAACATGTATACTCACAAACTTTTTTTTTCTCTTAAGCAGAGTAAGAAAGTATAAAACTACTATGTCTTATATGAACTTCACAGTAAAAAAAAGAAGCCAAAAACAATATATATATAGATGTATAAAGAAAACTAAAGAGGTATTAAATTATTTTCTTTATCGTTAAATTCGTGAAAACAGTCAGACCTCGATATAAGGTCACCCTAAGGGACATTGCGAAAGTGACCTTTTAACCGATTCATTAGCAGTTCGTAACTAAGCTCGTAAATAGTACACATTAGGATTTCTTAAAAATGGTAATACAAACGAAAACGATCAGCCATGAATTAAATATTTAAGTCAATAAATTTTAAAAGAATTAGTGAAGAATTAAAGAAAGTTAGATTAAAATTTTTTTATTTATTTAAAATAAAGCTGTTTACAAATTTCCTCAAAGTGTACATACATTCATTACATCTTACCTTATTTAAAATAATCATTTATGCAGGTCTGTCTCGTTTTTGGTCTCATTTTTCTAACTATGTTTTATAGATTCCGTAACTTATCAAAATGTTCCTAAGCTCCCTCATGGTTTGTAAAAAATTTTTGACTGACATTTATTGCATTGAAGACTTCCACTTGGGTTACAGCTACAGTCTCAGGACCACTGTCAGTGTCCTCAGTGTCCACAACTTGTGAAACAATTTCAGAAATAGTAGCTTGTTCGTTGGTTGCAACATTTTCCTAGAACTCGAGGAGTAATTGCCTTGTAAGGAAGTTAAATAGGCTTTTGTTAGAAAAGAGCTTCCCTCGCCTCAGATAAAAATGGCCTTATAAGCGATAGCAATTTTTAAAACTTGACCATATATCCGATAATCTGTAACAAAGAATTCCTATTCAGTGAGCCGGGACTTCGGAAATGACCTTATATGCGGATGACCTTATATCGAGGTCTGACTGTATAACAAATATTAATTTCATACTAAATCACACTTCAGATAAAAACAACACAATAATTAAAATAAGCAAATCATTGCTCAATTACTTATAATAGGTAAAGATTTTCATATTATACAATTATCTGCTAACAATATTGCCAGTAGATAAATATTTATTTTCTGGAAATAAAGAGCAACATCTTACCCATGTCTCAGGACATTAATTAGCAGAAATTTCCCATACTTAGACTTAGCCAATGGAAGGAAATCATCTGTCAAATAATAAATAAAATCAAGTTGAGCACAAAGTTTTATGAGCAACAGAAAATTTAACATGCAACAAATAAAAAAATCACAGTTTCTACCTTTAAGCTCATCGAGAAGCAAAGCACGATGAGTATCAGCTCCCAGTTTAAAAACACTCTCTAGAACACGGACAGTGTCATGAGCAAATGTGAACTGCAAAAACGAAAAGTATACTCAATAATTTTATAGAAAGATTAAATTAACTTAAAAATATCAAATGTAATATAACGTTCCATTAATATTAAAAAATCAAAAACTTTACTGTTTGTTACATTGTAGTTCTCAACCTATAACCAGTGTTAAATTTGAATAATCAATTCACACATAATTTGTTTTTCAATTCACACAAAATTTAATTTTATAGCCTTCAAATTTTAAACTGCACTCATAAAACAAGGGATGTTCTTAATCAACCTTGGGACAAATTTACCTTTACGGAGAACTTTTTAAATTAATTCAACTTGCATTCCATAAATTAGAAAATCATAAAATTCTTCCGAAGTTAGTCAAGCGGCAAACATCCCCATAATGCATGATCCACCATTCGAAGTAGGATAGTTTACAATAGCAATGCAGTCAATGTGAGCTGAAAACACCATATGAATTATGAAAAAACCAGCCCCAACACCAAGAACTTGGGTTTCTTCGTTAGAGTGCAAGTGCTCCATAATATAAATATGTTTTGCTTGTTTAGATAATTTTTATTTTCTGAATTAATAAAATCAAAAAACATGATAGAAGAACTAGTATTTAATAATCTTAAAATGAATGTTATACCTCTTTTACACGTCCCTTTAAAAGACCACAAACTTGCTTTAAAAGCTGGCCTTTTTTTTCTTCCTTGAGGTCTTGCCTAAAAAATAAACACATGTATCAGATTTAACTGCTCTTACATATCAAATTAAAATAAAATAATATAAATAGCACAACAATCTCAATGGTCTATGACATTTGTATATATTTTAATATACAGTAACATTCCATTCAATACAACTGTATAATAAATTTATACTTATTAGGGTTTAATCAAATCATAATCTTGGAATAATAAACACACAAAAAAATATATTAAACTGCAAATTCAGATATGATTTGGAATATTACTTTTTCCATACAAAACGAAATGCTAATGTGAGTAGACACGAATCCATACACACTACAAATGCCTGAAACAGGCAAGAACTTTTTACACTGTACGTGGAATGAACTTGATTATGATTACAAATTACATGTATAAGTTTTTGACAAGTTTATTTAAAAATATTAATAATTTGTTATAAGCCAATAAGCCAGTTATTTCTTTAAATTTTTTTAAAAATTAATAAAAGAAAAACTGTATGAGGAGTGAATATGATTACTAAAAACATATTTAGAAAATAGAATTAGCAATAATAATTATTTTACTTAATTTACATGTTACGTACCTCCGAAGCTCTTCCCAGCATGTCTTCAATGTTTTTACGACTTCAAATAATTCTTCTTTACCCTTTCCTTTAAATTTTAATTTTTTTCTATCGGCCTTGGTTAATGGTACTTGACTTTTAGCTGTTTTTTGACTTTCTTTGTTTTCTGTTGATTCTTTTGGAGATTTAGAAGTCTTGTCTAAATGAAGCATTTTCCATTCCTTTCTAGTCAAATTGTCAGGTTTCTTTTTCTTCTCAGAATTTTTGTTTTTAGTGTTTGTTTTTACATTTTCTAGCTGTTTTTCTTTCGTTGAATCTTTGGCACTGTTAGGAATTTTTTGCTTTTTGTTGGGACTGAAAGCATTTGGTTCATTTTTTCTTTTTAAATTTTTTTTATTATTTCGAGCAAGATGAACCTCTTGATCATTTTCCTGAAAAGAAACTCGTTTTTTAGGCGTTTCTTCTTTATCTTGGTCCTCAGTTTTCACTTTCTTCTTAAAAATCTTCTAAAAAAGCAAAGAAAGAAAACTATAAGCATACATTTCAAAATTATAAAAAAGTATAAATTTAAAAACATGTAAAGTAAAAGTTTAAAAACATGTTAAGTGACCTTGCTTATGTGCAATAGAGCATCAAATACGACAAAAATCATAGACAAAATGTAAAAATAAAGTTAGTATGCATGACCATGAAACAACCTAAATAATAATAATAATAATAAAAGTGTCAAAATAATTGTTTTATTCTGGGGAAAACTAACTAAAAACAAAGTAAAATAATTTCCATTTCTATACAAACACCAGAAGGAAAAAACAATTCTGTGAATGTCATGTATCATATTATATAGCTGGTTTACTTAGGTACAGGTATTTGCTTAGTTGAAGGTAATTAAAATCTCTGATTATTCTAATATAATTATTTTCCAATTTTGTCTACGATGGAATATGAGCTGTTTTTTTTTATTTCTATTTGCCCACGGTAAGTGTAACTGATATATGCAGCTTGACTTAAAACAAAGCGCAAACTAAACTCCATATCAAATCTTTTTACATTAGTTACACAATTTCATTAAAGAGTAAGAGTATAACCAATAGTATATAAGCTTAAAAAGTTGTAAGTGTATGCAAATCACAAATTAGTGACAAGTATAACTTTGAAAATCACACACCTATATAAATGCTAATATTAATTAGATAGATGAAGAGGTAGAGAATTTATTGTCTGCTCAATATCACAGATCATTAGTAGTAGTCTTTTTTTTTTTCTAAAAAAAAATATATATATATATATATATAATAATAATTCTTTTTTCTGCTTATTTTATTTCTTTTGCATTTTAATTTTTAACATTTAAATTTATTTTATATCACTCAAAATATTGCAGGCTATAAAGGTGTTAAAGTTAAGCATTTAGCAAAAATAACATGGTTAAAAATTTAAAACATTTATTTTTTCTGTATACCTTTAAAATGGAGATTTATACCATACTGTTTTAAATTGGATCGTGCTTTTGGTATAAAAAGAATCAGAAACTTTAAAGAACTGGATCATGAGGAACTGTAGTTTTTAAAATCTAGAATAATCACCATGATAAAATCAACAGAGTTAAAAAACTTTAAGACATGAAGGAGATGAAAAGTATAGTTAACTGAATGACTAAAAATTACCATTTAGATATAGAATTTTAAACAAAATTTAAACTATATTGAACAATAAAAGTTTTTTAATTTATGTAATTGCATTTAACATTTTCAGAACATATTTTTTTGGGGATGAAAAAAAAAATCCTAGTTCTTCAAAATAATTTTATCAGGAAACTCTTAATACAATCACAAATCATCTTAAGCACTTAGAAATAAATATGTATCACTTTTGATTTTTAGTTGTTAGACAGTAAAATTAAAATAAAAGTTAATTACTAATTTTAGAAGTACACAATTTAATCAACAAGGATCATACAGGCACTTTTTTATCCCCTGTGATAACACAAAAAAAAGTGTCTTTTTCATGGTAATTTATTAGTTTTAGACTATCACTAAAATTTTAACTAAATGTATTCACTTTTGACTTAAAACAAAATTCATATTGAATTAAATATTTGAAAAATGATATAAATATACTAGAAATTTAAGGCATTGCAAGGAGTCAAGCTATATTAAGAAACAGTTTTTTTCTAATATTTTTTTTATAAAAAAAAAAACAAATTTATTTAAAATCCACACATAAATGAACAAAATTAAAGTACCAGTAACAGACTGGAAACAACCTTGAAGGAAAAGGAAAAAAAAAAAAAAAAGTAACGGGTTAGTAGTATAAACCTCAAATTCCAAACAGAAAAACTATTTTCTCAAAAATCAACAACTCTCTGACGTTCCATCAAAATCTCTTGCTTTTAATTTATCTCTTTATATGTTTTGTTTCTTTCAGGGTTGGGTTTTTGACATCAAAAAGTGGTTCTTGACATGACAAGGGTATAATACTGGTTTAAACCGTCAAAAACTGAAGTTTGCCAAGAAAATATATAAACTTCAAAACTACCAACAGTTGGCATGCATTATATTGAAATTTAATTATACTATAGGTAATCAGCAGGTTTTAAAATATTTTTTAATTAAAATTAAGGTAAAATAACAGATTTAAAATCTCAGAAATTTATNAATAATTAATTTTTTTTTTTTTTTTTTTAAATTTCTATTTGCCCACTGTAAGTATAACTGATGTAAGCAGCTTGACTTAAAACAAGCTTGACAAACTAAACTCCATGTCAAATTTTTTAACATTAGTTACATAATTTCTAATTTCATTAAAGAGTATGAGTCTAACCAATAGTATGTATGCTTAAAAAGTTGTAACTGTATACAAATTAGTGACAAGTATAACTTTGAAAATGACCCATCTATATAAATACTAATATTAATTAGATGGATGAAGAGGTAGAGAATTTATTGTCTGCTCAATATCACAGATCATTAGTAAAAATAGTCTTTTTTTTTCTTAAAAAAAAAATTACAATAAAAAAAATTTAAAAACTACTTTTTTCTGTTTATTTTATTTCTTTTGCATTTTAATTTTTAATTTTTAATGTTTAAATTTATTTTATATCACTCAAAATATTGTAAGCTATAAAAGTGTTAACATTTATTTTTTCTGTACACCTTTAAAATGGAGATTTATACCATACTGTTTTAAATTGTGTCGTGCTTTTGGTATTAAAAGAATCAGAAACTTTAAAGAACTGGATCATGAGGAAGTGTAGTTTTTAAAATCTAGAATAATCACTATTATAAAAGCAACAGAGTTAAAAAACTTTAAGACATGAAGGAGATGAAAAGTATAGTTAACTAAACAACTGAAAATTACCATTTACAAAATTTAAACTATATCAAACAAAAAAAGTTATTTACTTTATGTAATTGCATTTAACATTTTTAGGACACATTTTTGGGGAAAATAAAAAATAATCCTAGTTCTTCAAAATAATTTTAACAGAAAACTTTTCATACAATCATAAATCATCATAAGCACTTAGAAATAAATATGTATCACTTTTGATTTTTAATGGTTAAACAGTAAAATTAAAGCAAAAGTTAATTAGTAATACACAATTTAATCAACAAAGATTAAATACCGGCACTTTTTTATCCCCTGCGATAACACACACAAAAAAAATTCTTTTTCATGGTAATTTATTAGTTTCAGACTATCACTAAAATTTTAACTTAATGTATTTACTTTTTACTTGAAACGAAATTCATATTGAATTAAATATTTGAAAAATGATATAAAAATACTAGAAATTGAAGGTATTGTAAGGAGTCAAGCTATATTAAGAAACAGTTTTTTTTTTAATGTATAAAAAAACACATTTATTTAAAATACACACATAAATGAACAAAATTAAAGTACCCGTAACAGGTTGGAAACAACCTTGGAGGGAGGAAAAAAAAAAAAAAAAGGTAATGGGTTAGTATAGACCTCAAATTCCAAACCCAAAAACTATTTTCTCAAAAATCAACAACTCTCTGACGTTCCATCAAAATTTCCTGCTTTAATTTATTTCTTTATATGTTTTATTTCTTTTATTTGTGCTTTTATTAGTCAGATATTTTTTAATATTTTTAAACTTCATAGCATAACAGAAAATGAGATAATGAGAAAATTTAATAACTGTCTTGTGAAAAATGCTATTTATGGCCAGCAATTACCATATACTTTGGAAATAAGGGTCCTCAGGACCTATGATTTTAAGAATTTGAGTTTCCATTTTACTAAAAGTGTATCCTTATTTAAAATATAAATTCTCTACATATTTGTCTATCCAATTATATTCACATTCACAATTAGTGTATTTATTGATAAAGAAAACAAAGATACAATGGCGACACAATATGCTTCTAACGATGAGTCCCCGAAAAACGGGCCCACACCAGCAACGTCCTACCTGAGCTAGACCCGACACCTGCCGTCATCTCCCTAACTTATTACTTTACAATTAAAAATAGATAATTTCAGACAAGGTGAAACTATTATAGAATATTGTCAATTGACATTTAAGACAGATGGAAGCTAATTGACACATAACTAACTTTTCAAGTCCCTTTTAGGATTTTTGGCATATTTGATGCCTTCTAACACAAAAGCAAAATCACTGATGACACATGTTTGGTGATGACGGTGTAACTTAAAAAGATAGCTTAATGAAACAGATAACAAATTGATAGACAATTTTCAATTATTCTTACAGCAAGAAGATAGCTGTTACTTGCATTAAAGGATACAAGAAAAGAATTCTGGCATCACAAATAAAGTATTGCTAATCATTAGACAAGCATTGCCCTCATCTTGTCAATTACCAATTTAATTAAAAATACATTTTAAAGGGTAATTATTCTTAAAAAAAAAAAAAAACTTTTTGAATATGTTGTAGAAATATACAACAATAATAACATTAAAAACTAAACATGTATTATGAGTAATATACTTTAAAATGTAATTACTGCAAAAAGTAAATATTAACTTTAAGTAATCAAAGTTTCTACAAAGATAGCTGTAGATTGCACAAAAAAAGGGAGAACAGTCTAAAGATGGTAAATTGTAAAAGCAATAGCAAAATATGAGGATTCGTTCTTTAAAAATAGCAGACTATGATACAGTGATGGAAGAGTGAGAGAGATAGGAGCTTTTTATATATTTCTCCAACATAGAATGTTTTCATGCCATCAAATCAATGGAAGCAGAGTAACAGAGTACTTGACAAGCAATGAAGACTTTGGCTATCATTTCAGTATATCCTTTATTAAATAGCACACAACAAAATTTGATTTTTTTTAAAAATAATATTTATTGTTAACTTTACCAAAAATGAGGAAAGTCCCAAAAATTTCAGAATATTTATACAGTTTTTAATAATTAGAGCATTTGAGGACACTCTCTTTCTTTCTTTTTTTAAAAAAAAAAAAGAAAACTTAAGAACTTAATGAAAACTTTGAGCCCTGCAAGTATCGAGCTTTTCAAAAAACCATGTGGAAATAAGTATCAACAGCTGCCAATATAAAATAACAGAAAAAAAAATAATAAAACTTTTTGACGAAGAAATTGGCACAAATATTGCAAGGCAAAAGGTATAATAAAAATATGTGATTTGAAACTCATAAATCATTATAACATTATATTAAAAATATTGAGATTTTAAAAGTCACCTCCATCACCCTTCAACAAATGAAAATAAATAAGTCAAATGTCACTCAAATTAAGGATATGGATACTACTAATAATTTTCATATTAAAATAATATGATATTAAAAAACTACAAAGATTTGTGATGGAATCTGTGTAATTCAAATGCTTTCAAAAGCAATGACTTGCACCATTCATAATTTACACCTCAATAAATTTTTGAAAAAGTAAAAAAATTAAAGGATCTTTTTTCATTAAGATCAATCAAAACTATGAGCCGCACTTCAATAATTGGTGGAACTGCATGTTTAATGCAGGTTATGCTCCTTTCCTGATAGAGCAATAAGTAAATAATAAAATAAAAAATTTTAATGGTATAAAATAAATCAGAATATTGCATCTGTATATGTGCAAAAATTCAAAACACAATAGAAAAAAAGTAATGATACATTTTTCGTAACTTTTAGGTCCAATAAATTTTTTACATAAGAATAACAATTACCTGCTTCTTTTCATTAATCCCAGCGCTCTTCCATAACTTAAGTGGCTTTGGCTTTCCATTTTGATTCATTTTAAAGTTAGCTGTGAATAAATAAGTAAAAAAATGAGAATGAGTCAAAACTTACAAGGCATATTTGAGCATATAAAAAATAAAATAAACTTATGAGGGGGAAATACAGTTAACTCCACTATAATGAGCCTAGGATTTAGGAAACACAAGGTTATAGTAAACTTTTTTAGTGGTTCCTTCTGAACTCTCATTCATTTAGCTAACGTTATTTTATACGCTTGTATTAGACGCTGAATATTGGAGGTTAATTAATAAAATTTAAATTTGTCCAAAAATTGGTGCAAACTTAAGTTTTAAACACAATAAATTACACATAAGTTAAACAATGATGATAAAATAAATCAATTAATTTTACGGATCATACCAATCTAAAAAATAGTCACATTTCAAAATGAAGAGGCTCTGTTAAATTTTTAATCAAATCTTCAGAGATTTAAAAAAAAAATACCGACCTGTATTAACTATTTATATTTGAAGCCAATTTGTTGCACGTTTTCAGCCTATTTGTTGTTTACACACTGAATCGTCAAACAAAATCAAAGTTGAAGTTGCTACGCTTAAACCTAATATTCTAATGAAAGCATGTTTCAAAGTTCAGCAACGTTCTCTGGAGAAGGCAATCTGATTGGCCAATAAAGACGTGACACACAGCTAATTTTATGAAGCATTCGCGCTGTATGCGCAAACAAATTTCCCAATTTTCTTCACGGTTTACTTCTTTTTATCTTTTCTTGTATGTTTACAAGAGTCTCACTCAATACTTGAAACTAATAAAGAAAATTATTGTGAATTATTAACGATTAAAACTACTTAAAGTTAAAAACAAGAATGAGATAAAAATTATTAATCTCTTTCTCAAATTTTTTTTCTTATGTGTGAATTTTAGTGAAATTTTTGACTGTTAATTTTTCCCCCCTCCCTATCAAAAAATTATGCGTCTGTGACACTCAAGGCTTTATCGTTTTTATTGTTCGTATATAATTAATGGTTGAAAATTATGTTCATTAGAATATTATTCTTGTATTTATTATCTAACATTTATATATTGAGATCTAATTCATTATGGATCGAAATCTAATTTAATGTTTTTTAAAATAAATGCTGAAGCAAAACATCATATAAAACACTTTAACAAAAGATTACAAGCTATATAATAAATAAAGAGTGAACTAATTGCACCATTGTGCTGTACCACTATTTCCTAATAAATTCGAGAACAGATATTCATAATCATTGTTAAAATAATGATACGACTCAATGCAACAGCTTCTGTAGTTTATTAAAATATCTAAGTTTATAATGTAAAAAATAATCTTCTACAAATAATAATCTTCTAAAAATTTTTATCTTATGTTAGATTGCTCAGGATAAATAATAATCTTTTAAAAAATTTTTATCTTATGTTAGATAGTTCAGGATAATTTTATGTCGGAAGTTTTTGAGAGAAACTTTAACGAAAGTCCACAATTTATTTTTATTTGACGTTTTTTGTTTTGTTTTTTTGCTCTTGATTTAAGAAGACATTAAATGGAATTATTTTATCAAAATAAAACAATTTTTGATAAAATAATTAAAAGAAATTATTATGAAAAAGAAATTATTCCAAATGCAACGGAACCGATCTAATAGTTTCCGGATAATCGAATTAAAATAATGGAATTTCAAAACTTTTCTTCTGGATTAATTCGACTAATTCTGCTAAACTTTTAAATTTCGTCTTTTAAAATTATAGTTTGAAATGATGTAAAAGGTAATCTACCTCATAATTCAAACTTTTAACACTTCTTATATTAAAATAAATAATGCCTTTGGATCAGAATTTTATAGCTGTATGATTTTTTTTTATTTTTATAAATAGTTCCATATGTATGATGAAATACCCAAAAGTAAGATTAAATATTAAGTGAACCAAAATTTTGACCAGTCTTCTGGCCAGAAACTGCCGTTCCCTATATTTTGATGGTCTAAAATCCAATGCCGTAATAGAAAAAGTGCTTCGATTCAGCTAAAGTAAGTTTTACGACTGCTTTATTAACTTAAAATCTTGTCTGCATAAGCCAAATAGTATATCTTAAGTTATGTCCTCTTGATCATTGCGTTTACGTCTTTGCACATTAAAATCCGGTCATAATATTCCTATCATATAAAAGTTATTAACACGTTGAACGCCACGCTAATTTTACATGGCTTGCCCGTCTGGCCGAACTGAAATTAACTACAAACTAAAATTGCAAATATTAGACAGGTTTTGCTAGTTTTAAAAGGTTGAGCATAGCATTTATAAAAAGCGGTGAATTATATAAGACAACGAATTGTTTAAAAATAGTGGTGGTTAAAATCTACTAAATTGAATTTATTAAGCTAAGAATCACAATAATTAAGTAAATTTTGAATAAATTTTCTGCAATTCCAAAAAAGAGTGTAAATTTTATAGTTCTATATCATGTTATACGCTGTCAGTGAGCTGTTTTTTGCGGCCTATGTGAAAGGTCAGTATCAGCAAGCGATGGCAGACGCAGCCTCAATGTAATTTCAGTGTCAGCCACCGGTGGTTGACGCGGCCTAAATAGAAAGTCCAATGTCAGCCACCGATGGCTGACGCGGTGCTCAACGTGTTAAGGGGCTCCTTTTTTATTTTGTGAAGTGTACATTAATTATTATTTAATGCATATTATTCAATAAAAAGGCAGTATTAAACTGTTTAACTGTTTTCCTTCTTAAGTTTACTTATTGAAAATTTGAGGGCATTGAAATTATTGATTTTAAAACCCACCAGAAAAAATTATGCTTGTTCCTTGGATTTGGTCTGGTGAACATTAGTAAAAAAAAAAAAAAAAAAAAGGGAAAAAAGGAACGCATTTCGTTCTGTAGGGGAGAGTGGGGTCAATTGTAACATTTTTTACTTAACTATTTTTAACTAACAAAAAATCCAATATATTATTAGTATTAATTGACAGACGAGTAAAGTAGACTATCCTCTACTAGAAAAAAAAATAAATACCTTATTTTAAATGTTATTATATTAGTTATTAACAATTTTTGACAGTCGTGCACTTGTTACAATTGTCCCCACTTACGGGGTCAATTGTAACAGTTCATAAATTCAACTAAAACATAGTTAATTATACATATTATCATAGTTGTGATATATTTTTTTATTGATCAAAATAGTAGTGATATTTTAGGAGTAAAAATAATAATGAGCAGAGACCTAAAGGGTTAAACTTTTAACTTTAAGGGGTTAAAAATTTTAATTTATGCTGTGAAAGGTGACAAATAAAATAATGCACATGCAACATAATATAAATGATATAGGAAACTATTGGTGGTTCTTAAAGAGTTAAGTAATGGTTTGTAAACATAAGATTATTTATTTTCAGCTGTTACAATCGTCCCTTTACTTATTGTTACAATTGTCCCCAAGACGCCATTTCAGCTTCATTTGTTAAAAACAATGCTAGTTAATTAGCAAAACTAATTTTTTTTTTATTGAAATGTTAATTAAGGTGTCCACTTACATATTCGGTTACTAATTTTTATTTGTTTAAACAAAATTACTTTGTTACAATATAATATTCTAATACCAAAAAAAGTACTTGCGTGGCGTGAAAATATCTTTTGTGATCTAACTCTTTCAAAAGTACATAAAAATGATTGCCATAAGGGGTGTACATGTAGATTTATTAAATACACCTTGTGCGCCACCTAGGAACTAAATCTAGAACCCGACACTCGAAATTTTTGCTCTGTTACAATCGTACCCTGTTACAATTGATCCCACTCTCCCCTACTCATTTTCTAAAGACGCATTTCAAGTTATGCTCACTTTCTTAAACATCAGCTTGAGCTCTGTCAATTTTTTAATTACTGATTTTAACATGGGTGAAAGCCCTTATATAGCAAGACGGAAAAGAGAAAAACCTGGTACGTAAAACATTTCATTCCAGCATTTTTTTTCGAAAAAAATGAAATATCTGTAACTATCAAGATTTCTTTTATAATTCTGGCAGATATATAAAACTGCTTCCTTTCCAAGATAAAGTAGATATTGTTGAAAAATTTAAAAAAAGAATAAGTAAACTCCTCCCCAAAACTAGCTATAACTGAAATGGTTTTACTACCAGCCTTTCCTCTTTTCCGTCTCGCTTTCACCCCTGGATTTTAAGCTTGAGCATTTTATTACTGTGTCCAGTTTCTATACCACTCATTTGAGAAAAGCCACATAAAAAACAAAGGTTACAAAAAAATAAATTAAACAAATTTAAAAAAAAAAAAAAACTTTCCCACAAGTTTTTATAGAAGATTTTCCTCATGTACATAAGATTTCGCCGGTCACCGGTGCATACCTGCCAACACTTCCAGATTTTCCCGAAGATTTTATTTTCATATTTAAAGTGGTAGTAATTATATACTATTTTTTCTTTTATAATCTTAATTTTTAGATGATATTGATCACCACTATTCTTACAAAAATTAAGCACATATATTAATATGCGTTACTATCATACCCTCCAACTTATGAGGATTTTGAAAATAAATCTTTCTAGTGGTAGCGAACCAAAGTAGAAATTTTTAAAGCAAATTGATCTCTCATAAAACTTTTATCAGAACTTAAGAATCTAGCCATATGGCCTGCACTTTTATAAGTAATAGTGAACAAGTTACGCTAAAATTAGTTTTTTTTTAAACATTAAGACATTAATTTTGCTACCGTCTGAAAAGAAGATTTCTGAAACTACGGAAATTCCGTAGCAGTTGGAGGGTATGGTTACTATCATGGTAGTCAACTTAAGTTTTCTCAAATACAACGTATTTTTTTGCTTAAAATTGAAGTTTTATTTAATACCACTGGGAAAAATGATAATGGAAAGGATTAAAAGTTGGCAGGTATGCCGGTGACCCCCGTGGTACTATAAACAAACTCAGTACAGGTCACCGGTGACTTATTAATGTTAATGAAAAAAGTAATTCACAATGGCTATGATGAATTACTCGTTCTTCTTAAGGTTTGAAAAAAATAAATAAATTGGTATTTATTTTATTATTATTATATATTCATAAATTGGTATTTATCAACACTAAGAAATGATGCACTAAATTGGAAGGCATATACCGACAAAATTAATATAGATAAAATAGTTCCTATATATTTCATTTATTATTATTCGTCTGAAATATAATATATATTTGAGAATTGAATCTATGGTGGTTGACAAGTACGATAAATCAATCATATGCATAAATTAAATAAATTTTTCGACATATATTTGCTACCACTTTTGTATTTTTACTAGATTTTGTATTAAATGGCTCTTTCGGAAAATGGCATACCTTCATAGCGGTTTGAACGAGCTACCTAAGTATAAGAAACCGTGTTGGGCCAATCAAGCTATTTTCTCTTCAACTTGTCCCTTTCATTACCAATTAAAAATACTTATCACCACAGTACGAATTATGTCCTAAATAATAAAGATTAATACCACAAAATTATAGAAATAACAAAAAAAGAAAAAAAAAACATTTTATTACACATCCATTGCAGATAAACATTTTACTTTAATTTCAAAGCTTTGCTGAATACGGGAATGCCGTGGGTGACTAAAAATGTAAAAAGTGGTAGTAACTAAATTTATTTTTATTCGTAATTTCTTTTATCATTTAATTGTAACTACCACTATAACTTACAATTCAAATTAGTGATATTTAAAAAAAAAGAAGAATGAGAGGAAAAAAGTAGAAAAGAAATAATAAAACAAAGTCTATGTGCAATAATTAGTTATTTTATCAATAGTAAAGTTTAAAAAAAAAACTGTAGAAGTTGCAATTCATAGACTCTCACAATAAAATTTTGAATCTTCAGTCGCCCGTAAGAATGAATATCTTGCTTAACCTGTGGTAATGCTTGCTTACAATGAAATGTTAGCGTCAACAACTATCTTATAAGTTTTATAATGAAAAGGCATGTTCCAAATACGAAAATTTTCGTTTAAACATTTAACCTGGTAGCACTCTAGTGTTTAAAAAAATTTAAATTTTTTATTCATTTTGCGTTTATTTTGGTTTATTATTATAACAACGAGGATAGTTATAAATCAAATATTGATTTTAGTATTATTAAAATATTCTGGTAGATTCATAAGTTTTCTTGTCCAAAAATTAATGCTAACAATCAAATTATCAATCTTTATCATATTGAAAAAGGATTATTTTCCGAACTTGGAACACTGGCGAGTAATCGGTTCAGTTAAATGACACAATGTAGTCATAGAATTAAATAACTTATAAATAAGCAGGATAGAAAATGTTGAACTCATTATTGACCGTTCATTTGGCATTTTGCTTTCTTTCAAAAATGCATTCTGAAGTCACTGCTCGAAGAACATGAGTAAAAAAAAGATTTAATAAAAATATCAATGGCGAGTTGTTCGAGAGTCACCCACGCCGCAAATGGCCTTCAGTTTCAGCTCGCCAAGGATAAATGAAAACACAATTTATCCTTTTTAGTCATATACAAATAGGCTATCCGCTTTGGAAGTCAGAGAGGTTTCATACACGTTTTAGTGTTCATCATCTGAAGAGGTAGGTTTTTAGAAATGCTTTGCTGTTATAACTTTAAGAAATAAAAAAGAACTTAATTGCAGCTTTCTATTTATTATAATTATTATATTACTTTAAAGATATGGTATGATTTTACTTGTTTCAATTTCATGGATGCCACGGGCGACTAGAAATTTAAAAGTGGCGAATTCTATCAAAAGAGATTAAAATTAGCAACTTTTTTTTTAGCATATATTTTTTAATTTATCATTGAAAGTAGATCGATGGAAACTACCAAACAAATGTCTTCACGAAGTGTGGCTTGCATCGCTTCAAGCTCATCATATGTACTTTTGACATTAATTATATTTGCTTAATATAAGGAGTATATTTAACACGTTCACGCCGGGTGTTGCGTATGAAAGCAGGACGGAAAAGAGAAAATACTGGTAGAAGAACTATTTCAATATTAGATAATATTCGGGAGGAGTTAATCTATTCTCAACAATAACAGTTTACTGTAAGGAGATTTATCACGGCGAAGAAGCAATTCAATATAAAAATTGCATCCGTTAAAAACAATTGGTAGTTATGGATTTTTATTATACCCGGAAAAAAAACTAAAAAATGAAATTTATTTGTTACCAGTTTTTACTCCGTTGCGCCGCCCGATGAGACAATCTAGCGTGACCCACCGGTGGGTCACCCCGGCGTGAACGTGTTAATAAGCTCATTGAATTATTAAAAAATATATTTATGGTAGCTGTGGTTATAATTAAATTATGAAGTATTGCAGAGTTTTGCCGGATATAGATCAGGATCATCTCTAAAAAAGAAGAGTTCCCGTCTATGAAAAATTATAATAGTGCAAAGATTTGCAAGAGTTCTCAATCTTTAACTGAAAAATGAAAAGCTTTTAAAAAAAAGATTTCGCTTATAGATACGTTCATTTAAGTAACCAAAATGTTATGATGATTATAAACTTACTAAAAGAATTTTTTTACTGCTTTTGCTACTAGTATTTATTTATTATTTTTTAAAAATTTAATTTAAATATTAACTTATGCAATAAAAATAAACTGAAGTCTAAGCAGGGTATTATGAAGTGTGGTGTGAATGATATCTAGTTCTATTTGCAAATAAAGTAATTTTTTCATTAACTATACCCTGGATATAGGTTTTTCATTAGGTTTATTAACATTATGGAATTAGATTTGTAGTTGCATATTAAATCTCTACTCTCATAGAAAGTATTAGGAATTTTATTTCGGTGGGGGAAAATTGAAGTAATAAATTATTCATTTTCAAAAGATTTTTTTCCTTCCTTTTTTTTAATCGAGTAGAAGTTGATGGAATTATAACTTAAAAACATAATTGCATTAAAATAACCCTTTGACGCAGATGGGACACCGGTGATCCTCTTATATACTTTTTTTTTCTGATGCTCTAATTACAATAATAATATTATGTAATACAATAATAATATTATATAATACAATAATAATATTATATAATACAATAATAATATTAAATATTAATAGTAAAAATGTATTTTGATATTTTTTAATCATAAAAAAAAGTCTAATTGTTTTTTAAAAAAAATCTGTTACATTGTAGATTGTCGGTATTATATTTGTACGAAAATATAAAATATAAAAAAAGTAGTTTGAAAATTTATATCAATAATTTATTTTGCAAATTAAAAGAAATTTCAATAATAAATAAGTGCAAGTTTGAAAAAAATGATTGTTTGGAAGATTTTACCTTTAACACGGAAAAAGGCACCGATTTTTCATGTTGTATTTCAGAACCATAAATTATTAAAATGCTGAATGTAATATTTTTCACTTATTTTGATCTAAATGAATACAAAATAAAGAAATAAAGTACGAAAAATATGTTTAACAGAAATTCTTCGTCGAAAGGATTAAGAGTTTAAAATCGATGATTAAAAAGTAAAATTTAAGATTTTTATTATTTAATTATTATAGGATTAGTGTTGTTGGTATTTAAATTCGTAGTAGATCGATGATTAAAAAATAAAATTAAGATTTTAATTATATAATTACTATACGATTAATGTTGTTGGTATTTAAATTCGTAGTTCGTGATACTGAAGAGGTTTTCTTGGGCTTTAGCTATTTATGGAGTAAAAACAAATGCTAGCTGCGTTCTTCTTTTTTTTAGGATATGAGTCATGCCTCTCGAGGTCATATGACCGAGTAAAACAACTTAGCGGATCATAAAGAAAATGTTCCACGTGTGTTACGACTAAACGTCTTTCTCGATTGCTTCACATTTAATAATTTTATCGTATAATGAATGCATAATGGTGCATACATCATAATACATGTTTCCAGTTTCCTCTTTCACTTAAATTTTCTCATAAAACAGCCATGTTTTATTTTTTCGTGAGATACGGGTTGACTGAGAAATTGATTTTTGAATCTTGTAATGTATATGTTTTCCTTATAGCAACAATAAATAATATTCGTTCAAACTATTAAGAAATACTATATCTATTAAAGCAGCAATTCCCAATTCAGCTACGCAATCCTAAACGACCAAACTTCTTTTGGCGGTGCGTTGACTTCAAAAAAAAAAAAGTTCATTAACAAGTGTTAATAAACTAACCGGAAATAAAACTATAAATTTAAATGGGAAAAAATTGTTATTGGGAAAAATGCTACTTGCCAATAACAGCAAGGTGAATTCTTGTTTTTCAGTTGCGCCATATATTGCCAAAAATACGTCTATAGCCAAACAGACGTCACAGTCCGTTTTCAGGGAGGACCCAACTTTTTTTTTCTTTGAATGGCAGGCACTGAACTTTATTCGTTTCGCCTTAGAAGATGCCAGAGTTGTTACTCATTTCGCGTTACCCAGTGCGAACCAAAGTCACGGAGGCGAGTAACATTGCCCACGCCACACTGCCACAAACCCGTTCATAGGGAGGGCCACATTCAGTCATCACACACAACGGAGGACAACACAAGAGAGAGACATCCATGCCCAGAGCGGGACTCGAACTCGCGGTCATTGGCTTCGCAGTCAGGAGCGCTAACCGCTCACCCACCTGGCTGGCCATACATCTATTCATTCATCAATAGAAACTTTCTATTAGAAAGTAATTTTGACCTGAACCGGAGAACAATCAATCCCCTACTCAGTACCCCCAGAGGTATAATTTGTTATGGAAACACGGAGGGAGGATTTTGTGACTCCGTCAGATTTAACGTGTACCACTCACGACGGGCATTCTTCAGTTGGCGGGATTCGAACTCACTTACGCTAGCCCAATATTCAACCAACCTGGTTATCCCGGCCCAAAGAAGTATTTACAACATAAAAGTCATCAAACTTCTATCACCTTGGTATCAGCAACAAATGAAGAAATATTTCTTTTTTAATTTAAGCAGGGGTGAGTTTAGAAGAAATAGATTTGTTAACAGGTACTGATTTGTTACAGAAGCATGGAGGACTTTGTGACCCGACAGATTTAACGTGCACCAGTCACCATTTACTACACTTCTAGTCGTCGGGCATCGAAGTCACGACTTCTTTCACATGGGCCCAACGATGAAATTTTTCTATTGCGTCATTTATAACAGTATTAAAATTTATATAGGACAGTTGAATTTTCAAATCTGCTTCGGATTTTAGTCTAGTAATTTTTGGTGTATGCATAAATCAAACAGAATTAAATAAGCTAAATGGCATAGTTTGAAAATGTTAAAAACGGTGAGAATGGTTATCAGTGATAAATAATATTTTATCCCCGAATTTGGTAACTTATTTTTGAATATTAAAGATAGATGAGAAATACTGTTACAATGGTTTGTAAATAAATATCCTTTTTTAAATTTATTCAATATAATGTTATCGGAAAAAAGTATTTTTTAAATATTTGCTATTTTTTTATTGACATTTTATTTAAATAATTTCAGGAAAAAAATGATAACCTAAATTGTAAATAAATAATCGCTTATTGGATCGATGCAAACCTAATAAAGGTTTCAAAAATCATTTTTGGTTTAAAGAAGAAAAGAAGAAGTCCGAATTCTCGGAACCTCTTTGGCCTTTCCACGGAACACTTTTTGGGAGCCTCTGTAGTCTAGGTATTACGGACTTTTAAAATTTTATAAATAAATTATTCTACTTTTAACATTTGTTGAATGCATAGATGATAAAAAACCTTATTTTCCTGCTTACTTTACCGAAGGAGGAAAACATTTATTTCATTAATATTCAATTTCTAAATTAAATCATTGATCTGATATTGCCGCTAACGGGAAATATAGCTCTTGTCAACTTGAAGAATAAAATTAGAGAACATCACAAAGATGCATTCAGGGTTACAGCAAGGGTGAAAGAACGAAACGGAAAAGAGATTGTTTAACCCATAGGTTCCCAAAGTGGTCCAAGTGGACCCCGAGGGGTCCATAGGAGACCACACGGGGGTCCACATAGACGTGAAAAGAAAACAGGGGTTCACAAGTTGTAAGTGGGGGTCCACGAAAAAGTTTCTGGTTTTCATAATAAAGAACAAAAATTTTGGCTTGGATTTACCTATCAACGTAGGCAGGTAGCATCATTCACTAGGTAGGTACTCAAAAATATTCGAGACTCAGTTCAAACACATAATTGAATATAACAATAGATAATAGTGCAAGTGTACACCACATGTCGAGACTTGCAAAGTGCTGCCCGTGCTCCCGCTTGCATTTAAATACCATACATGATGACTTCAGAAATAGATTTGAATATATTCTGACGATGGAAATACCACCATGGATCATAACCCCATTTGATGAAACGGAAGAGGCGAATGTGGTATTACAAGAGGAGCTACTTGAGCTCAGCACCAACTGAAGGTGAAATTTAAAAAAGGCTATCAAACATTTTGGCTGCAGGTAGAAATCCCCGAAAAATATCCTGGGCTGTGGGAAATTGCGAGACAATTTTTGATAGCGTTTCCCTCGTCATATCTTGTCGAAAGAAGTTTTAGTGCCGTTACCAACCTGTTAACAAAAAAAAAGGATCAGATTGTACATCACAGAACGGGGAGATTTGAGATTACTTCTTATAAAACTGAAGCCAAATATTGATAATTTGCTGTCAATTCATCAAGTACATCCGTCTCATTAAAAGTATGACTATTTTTTATTGCTGATTTACATTTCAGAGTTCATTGTTGATTTTTTGTCAATTGTTGATTGTTTGTAATAATAAATGTTTATAATTTTGTATAACCACAAGTATTATTTTAATAATTAGGACACAAGAAAATGTGCTACTTTTTTTTTCTTCGTAACTCCCCCAATTTAGGGTGATATTTTTTAGGAGTTTTGGGAATACAGTAGAAATGTAGCAGCAGGGGGTCTACCGAAAATAGTAAAACTTTGAAAGTGGTCCACGAGAAAAAAAAGTTTGGGAACCTCTGGTTTAACCATTTCAACAATGTTCCCGAGGGTCTTATAAATTTTAAAACGTGGTAGCGAAAATAAAACAAATGTCGATATTTAGTTTCTGTGTAACCACCACTAAAAATTTTTTTCCAAAGTATATGAAAATACAAGTTTCAAAGCTACTTAACGATAAAATGGTATATTAAAATAAAAATATATCTTCTAGAATTAACCTTAATTTACTACCATTACTAAAATTTTTCAAGGACTTGATTTCAGTTATACTGCCCTGCAAAAAAATAAGTAAGTAAATAAAATCAACGTGAGCGACAAAAAACCAAAACAATATATCGTCAACTAAATATTTTTTTCATAACTTTTTCTGGTTTCTAAATTAAAATATTGGCAAACGGGAACGGAATTATGTTATTATTTTTTAAAATCTGGTGGCTAAACTTAAAATTTTTAATTTGCATTAGCTGCTTTAAAATCTTTTGATATTATTAATTTAAAAACTTTCATTTATATTTTTTTCCTAAGTCCTTTTTTATTTAATTTCTAACATTGACTTGCATTTTGAGAATTTTTTTTCCAGCTTCTGCCAATTTTTTCTTCAATTTTATCTTTTCTAATTACTTTCCATCAGGCTTTGAAGTCTTTTGGCCTTAGATTTTCTCTTAATGTTCTTTGACGTAGACAAGTTATGTAATCTTTAGAATAATTTATGTAATTTTTTCCGATATTTCACACACCTAATGATTTGAACTCTTTTTTTCCTACCAGAAAAAAAAAATCTTTTCTAAATTTCTTATATCCACATGTAATAAAAAAATATCCCGGTGGCCGGAATAGCCTGGTAGGGGGCTGGATTTGCGTTCGTGTGAACGGGAGATTGAATCCAGCAGGTCAATGACTTCCTGTGTAGTGAATGGAGAATGGTGCACGCTAAATCTGTTGGGTCACAAAGTCCTCCATATTTCCATAACAAATTATACCTCAGGTGGTATTGAATCGGAGATTGATCGTTCTCTGGTTCAGGTCAAAATTACGATTTGTAGATGAATAAATGGATGTATGAATGGGTCCGCCCTATAAACGGGTGTTTCAGAAATCGAATTCTTGGCCATAGATGGTGCAACTGGAAAACAGGAAAAATAGCACCTCTTGCGTTAATGGTTTACGCTTACGACAACAATCCAGGTAAACAATAATCAACGTTATGTATTTATACCCGTAAATTTGCACGGTCGTTAACCCCTTGGGGACGGGTGATTCAGAAAAGCATTCGCACAAAATCAGAATCAAGTTGTATTTAAATAAAAAACGGTAACTTAAATGTAGTCGTTTCTAATTTTACATACTTACTTTGCTTTTACTTTAATTATTGTTAGTTTAATCATATATATAATCAATGTTAATTCAAAATATAACTAAATAGTTTTATTTTGAACAAAGTAATGGTGCATTAAATAAATCAAAAAATTATAACTCCGCCTACAAATAAACTGTTAAAGAACTACTTTGGTTACCAGTTTTATCTTTTTACCCTGATTGATACGGTTTTATGCTGTCACTTATTTGTGACAGTCGGCGCGAAAGGGTTAAAGAAATTTAAAAACTGGTTGTGAAACAATAGTTAAAGAAGAAATTATTTTCTAAAAATTAAACTACTTAAACATTTAAGAACTAAACTTATTAACAAATCGATCATATCGAAATATTTTTTTAAAATTATGAATTGATTTGTCGTGGTAGATTAAACTTGAAGATTTAATGCGTCAAAACGCTATACTGTTGCTACCACTAAGAAATTTTTTCTGAACCCTTAATGATCGGTTAATTTTCAAGAACACGGTCATAAAAGTGCCGATTTTTTTTTATCCCTGAAAATTATGTATATTTATTTTTAATTTTTGATTGGTTTTTAGCTTGAAATTTTAAAAAATTAAATTTTTAGGAAGCGCCAACATTTAGGGTAGGTTTACTATGACTTAATGTTGGTTTTCCAGCAAGCAGGAAAAATTTAAAAAAATATGTGTTTCAAGCATTAAAATTTTTTCTATTAAACTTACGTATAATATAAATAAAGATTAGTAATTTTTTCTTGTGTGATAAACTTCAAAGCATGAGATACAGAGGCCAACGTCACAATCTGCACAGTAGTACCGAGTTTCCTTCCTACACCTCTTATTGTTTTCATCTCTTCTGATAATACCCTTAAAAATATCTTGGTACTGGTGTGTAAAATGAGAAATAAAATATTTTCCGGACAAAAGAAATAAATCAGTTTTTTTTCTTTTTGGCGCGTTACTACTGAACACTCCAGCCCGGAAATATCACGGGATCGAGAAGGAAGGGGTTAACGGCTACAAGTTGGTAGCTATGCTTATTATTAACCTTTACTATACAATGTGTATTAATACTTTCTGAGAAAATTTACGAAAATTCAATTCTGCTTCCAATTTCATCTGGTGACGTCTTTTTCCGTCTTCTTCTACCTTTGTACTTAGAGTAGTATTTCGTAGGTCTTTTGCATAATCTTCTTTTACTTTCTTACTTATAGTAGTATCTAGTATTTCTTTTACATAATCTTCTTCTACCTTTGTACATATAGTAGTATCTAGTACGTCTTTTACATCATCTTCTTCAACTGTTTCATTCCTTGCAACTAACGCTTCAGTTGTAAAGTTGTTAATTCTGCGGATTCTGTCGAAACCTATCCTAGTTTCAATCCCTCCAAATCTGATTTTCTCGCTTTTGTTTTAGGAAGTCATAATAACTAAATGTTTTAATCTTAGTATATTATTGTGAAATACAGGGGTTGGACAAAATAAAGGAAACACTTTTATACTAACTCTATGTAAGCAATCTTTTTTTAGAAACAAATGCAGAGATGTCAACTTGCTCCTCTTTGTAAACAAATATTTTCCAGTGGCAAACGAAATTTAAGTTATTTTTAGTTGAATATTTTTCATTTTAAGTATTATATAAAATGTAACTTTATTGCTGTCATCTCGTGACATTGAGATCGAAAAACCACATTGCCCTTCAGAAACTCCAAGAAAAGCTGAAGGAAATAGAAACCCTGTTTCTAAACTGGAAGTTTAAAGTAAACAGGAAAAAATCGGGACTACTAATTTTTCAACATAAGAGAAAAACCACCCACCCAAAAAATTAAATTGTTTTCTCTAACGAAACTATCCCCATTGTCAAAAGCTCAAAATAGCTTGTTCTGGTCAGAAACAGTACATTTAATTGGAAAGATCAAGTCAAAACAGTTATCAACAGCGCAGTTATTACGGTTATAACAGTTATTACATATAACGTCTCTACATCTCAATGATCTGTCTTATCCTAACTTACGCATCTCCAGCTTGGTGTAACATTTCCACATAACTGCAAGAGAAACTCAAAAGATGCAAGAATAAAATACTCCGAAAAAAAATACAAGCAAGATGGTTTATCCGAAATAAGAACATACATTGCGATCTCAACATAGATTTTTTTTAGATTATCATATTGCAAAGCTAAATTGCAATTTTTTTTTAAAAAAAAAATATCATAAATTGTGCCACAGCAGGATTTAATGAAATTTTTACTTTTGAAAACATGAGAGAAGACATAAATCTCAGGTCAATAGCAGCTTATTTTTGTAGCAACGCATCTTTATCTAAAGCACAAAATATTTAATTTCCTTTTCACTCCAATTTGTATTCCAATTACCAAAAAGAGCCACCTTGAAGATAAAATTTCAAGATGGATGGGAAAAGGGTTGCTAACGGCCTCAGGTGCCCAGATATATTTTGATGATCATGATCATGATGCAGTCCTCTCGTGCGTGGTGACACTTATGAAAAGTACGCGTAATTATCCTTATTCTACAAGTTTTACTATTTAATTCTCTACCTATTTCATTATAACGTTTGCAAAAAGCGGAGCAGTTGGCATGCCTGCATATGTTTTGGAAGATTTTACACGGCAAATCTGTTGGCATAATTTAAAAGATCATGTTTGAAGCTTTTAAAAATGGTGTCCTCCTTATCCGTGTAAACTTAGTATCGTTTTTCAATGTCACTGTAATTAACTTCTTCTAGTTTACATAGACTTAGTATAGAAGTATTTGCATTATTTTGTTAACAACCTGTATTAACGATACTTAAAGGTTAGGTTTGCTTCGAGTATTGTTTCAAAGCTAGAATTAATCATTTTAAAGGACAACTGACCCCTTAAAATGTGTAACTCCTACGTTTTGAAAGTAAATAGCATAGTTGTTTTACATTAATAAATAATTTTAGAATTATTTTCTTAAGCTCTGTTTTCGATTTTTTTAGGACTCGCACAATGCAACTAAGCGCTTCTGAACTTGCCAACAATATATCCTCGTTCTACATTGCCATTGCAGTTGTTGTTCTAAGTTTTTTGTATTATCGCTACAAAACGAGAGGAATACCTCCTGGACCAACAGGAGTTCCTTACCTCGGTTTGTGGCCGATTCTGAGACATGACATATGCCATCTGCAACTTCAGGAATATGGAAAAAAGTATGGAGATATCTTCAGCTTCACCTACACAGGACGCTTGCTCATTCATTTAGGAACAACTAAAGCAGTCAAGGAAGCTCACATAACTAAATCCGATTGTTTCTATGAAAGGCCGGATACTTTTAACCTTATTCACTACTTTTTAGATGGAGGTTTGTCTATTGTATATATATCTATACAAAATATTTACCTAAGCAAATTTTTACATTAACCATTTGATAAACTTCATTGGCCATTTACCATTATGCATTTCACTTTAAAGTTTCATTTAAAAATGAATATGCAAATCCCTTCCGGACCCAGGTACTTAAATTCTACAACGAGAAAAAGTGGGGATCATCAGAAAAAAAAATTATTTCTCTCTTACTCAATTGCTTAATTAAAATACAGTGGTGGCCAAAAGTGTGGACACTTTTTGAAAGTTTCATGTTTTTCAACTTTGTGTGCTTGTAGAATATATTAATTTTCTCTATATATGACATCCTGNCCATCTGCAACTTCAGGAATATGGAAAAAAGTATGGAGATATCTTCAGCTTCACCTACACAGGACGCTTGCTCATTCATTTAGGAACAACTAAAGCAGTCAAGGAAGCTCACATAACTAAATCCGATTGTTTCTATGAAAGGCCGGATACTTTTAACCTTATTCACTACTTTTTAGAAGGAGGTTTGTCTATTGTATATGTATCTGTACAAAATATTTATCTATGCAAATTTTTACATTAACCATTTGATAAACTTTATTGGCCATTTACCATTATGCATTTCACTTTAAAGCTTCATTTAAAAATGAATATGCAAATCCTTTCTCAACCCAGGTACTTAAATTCTACAACGAGAAAAAGTGGGGATCATCAGAAAAAAAAAATTATTTTTTTCTTACAAGAGTAAAATTAGTTGTTAAATTACTGTTCTATTGCTGGATGCTGGATATTGGGGTTATCTCAGCGTTTGGTGCGAAGCGCCACTAACCGATTCATCGAATCTGTTTTGTCGTATTCTAGGAGGTCCTAAATATCATTGAAGTTGTAGTATGTTGCAACAACAAATCAAGTTCTTAAAGAAGTAAATCTTTAGTTTTGAAGTGAAAATCATCTTTGGAATGGGGAGATCCCCTTGAGTAGAGTTGTATGATAAAGTTAATAGTACATATTTTGATAGTATGCAGTCTGAGCATAAAAAGGCGGTAATTGGGTTGAAATTCGAATTATCACGGATTATATCAATATCGAACAACTTATTGAAATCTGAGTTAAGTTACTGTTAAATTTTGGGTTATTATTATACTTATGTTATGTTAGTATATTATTAACCTGGTATACCTCAGTATACTTGGATTAGTATATACTTATATTATTATATTAACTTATATTAGTACACCATCTGGATTTACTTGTAATTCACTTATATTAGTCACTTATTTTCTATTCAGTATGCTATCTTCTTTAAAAAGATTCAGTACTACAGATGACTCATCTCAACACACGGGTCAAAGTAGGTCATCGAAGTCAAACATCACTGTCTGCGATCAGTGAGAGAGAAAGGACGATCAATTTGATCAGATTTTGAAGAGACCGAGAGTGTATGGTATCGCGAACTGTTGTATCGTATAGTGTGAGTGTGGGTCGCGTGCTAGCAAAACGGATAAACTATTATCTTCGTAGAGGCTCAAAATTGTGATGGTGTCTTCTCGGATCAACCTCAGAGATGTATCCCAGACCAATAGCTCATTGAGCAGCTCTAGTGCAAGAAAATTAAGTACTTCTTTTAATACCTAAAAAAAAGAGTCGTGGTGAGTCAGGAGATAGAAAATTCGCCTCCACTGAGATGAACCGGGGTTCGATTCCCAGCGATGGCTGGTCGATACGAATTCCTCACTCGGTTCGCACCAACCACAATGCTGACGTAAAATATCCTCAGTGGTAAATGGATCATGGATTAGAGTCCCCTTGCCGTCAGGCTAACCGTGGGAGATTTTCGTCATTTTCCGTCTCAATGTAGCGCAAATCCGGGGGTTAGTTGTCTCAAAAAGTCCTTCACGAAGGCAAAATTTATTCTAATACTTGATCCTGAAGTTCCCTTGTCTTCTGGATTAAGTTCGAAATTACAAGGCTACGGAGTTGAACATTAGAAGTTGTAAACCCAAAGTTGGATCGACTGTTCGACAACGTTTAGAAAACAAAATGAAATACTTAAAAAGACTCGTTGAATTTTGCCAATGCTTATTTTTTCATTTACAATTAGTTTGTTGAGCTTGGCTTAATTATTATCTTACAAAATTTCGGTTTTCTGCACTACTTTCCCGTTTTTTGTTACTATTTCTAAATGTAACTGTCAATTTCCAGGTGTCCCCAGTCTGAACGGAGAAAAATGGAAGACAGTGAGAAAGTTCTTCATTCAACAATTCCGAGAACGTGGAATGACAACTATAAAGGAGAGCTTTTCTGGTCCTATTTATGACACCGTTCGAGAAACCATTGATGATCTTAGGAAAGCGAATAGTCAACCAGTTGACATCGCAGGAATACTTCTGACGAAATGCAACAAAATAATGCGCCAAACTCTCTTTGGTAATGACGGCATGACTGAGCAAGAGCTCACAGATTTTTGCAACGCATATTTTGCAAACTTAATGAGCCAAACCAGCGTAAACCTTCTTCTTGTTGGATACTTCGCTAAGTATGTATTTTCATTAAATTAAATGATTTATTGTAACATAGTTGATAGCTTAAGAGTTTATTTTTATACTTAAATGTAGTAATAAAGTTGATTTTTTTAAAATTAATTCTTAAAGTTATATGGGGTCCCGCAGTGGACTGATCGTTAAGACACGGTTCCCATCAGATCACCGAAGTCAAGCATCACTGGCTGCGGTCAGTGTGCGGGTGGGTGACCACTTGGATCAGTCTGCGTAGGGACCGAGGGTGTGCGGTATGGGTCCTCGTTAAACTGTGCTACCGTAAAGTGCTCGACTTCGCGTGCAGGTCGTCGGGCTACCGAAGCGGGGGTGCCATCCCCTCTGCAGAGGATCAAAATTGTGATGGCATGTCTTCGGATCATCCTCAGGGATGTTTCCCAGACCGTCGCCAATAGCCCATTGTGCAGCTCTAGTGCGACGTAAATGAACAACAACAACAACTAAAGTTACATGGGGGAGATTTCCGTATCCTGGTCTGTGGCAGAATAATCGCCAAGTCTTCGAAACTTCCGGGCAGCGGTCCGCGAGAAACTAAAAGAAAAAACATCACAGAAAGGGACCAACTCGATAGGTGTAAACTCGTAACCCCCGCTGATCAAACATCTACATGTTCATTTATTATTATTTTTTTTAAATAGCAAGTTTAAAATCTATTTGGCAATTTGGCGATTGTAGTTGGCTCAACAGATCACGATACGGAAATATCCCTGTCATATGTTTTATTTAATTTTCTGTGGGGCAGAAAATTTGAAGTTAATTATTAGGCAAGAAAATCTCTCGGAATTGTGGTTATCGTATGTTTATTCACTTATCTACATATTAACTAAATTACAAAGCCCCTGCTGGGTAAGGGGCATCTATTTCTTCATCATAAATGTGGGGAATATAAAAGGATGAGCAAGGAATAATGCAAAAGCAAATCTATTTAGATAAAGAGTCAAAGCAATTCATTAACCTCTTCAAACCTAACGTATTTTGACTAAGTATTGCCTAAAGTTTGTTTTAAACTGGTCACTAAAATTTTAAAATTATGCATGCTTTGAAGTGTTTATTTCTGTTAAAAATATTTTCATATTGTTTATAGTGGTGTGAAAACTTAGAAACTGATTTTTATAAAACTAAGGTAGAAGTTAACTTTGAGCAGTCTTGAGAAAAGTTTGTCAACATTCTTTAATTTTTCGAAATTCTAGCTACCCTGTATTTGATGAGTTTGAAGAGTTTAAAACTGAAGTGGAAATAATTTATCCATTCGTAAAAAAAGGGAATGATTTAATTTATTTTTATATTTTCTGAAATTCAAAATAACTGATAAAAATCGAGCACTTAAAGATATAAATATATTGCAATTTATGTAAATATATTACAAATATATCTTGGGCAATTTTTATCCCACCATCACTGAAAGATAGACACTTTAACTACTACGGTTCCCCGTAGTTTCAGAAAATATTTTTTCCAGTGGTCGTTAGTGTAATATCAGATTAGCAAGGGTATGTCAGCTATTAAATCAGATAATATAAAATTAGAATTAAAAGAATTTTATCCACCACTAAACACAAATAATTTAAACAGATATACATATAAGGCCATATAGACGACTGCTTTTTTGGGGCCTCCCTGGCCGAGCGGTATCACCCGTCAAACGCAGTGTGAAGCGTGGAGGTGGCGGGTTCGAATCCCGTCGTAACCCTGGATGTATTCTTCGTGATCTTCTTCAAAAATTATGCAACCACAATGAATACCAAAATAAAATCTTCCTGATTTATAATTATCAGAAAAAAGTGGTATAAACAAAGTTAGTATTTCATCCAGAGTAAAAACTTTAAGATCAACATAAAAACTAACATATAAAAAAATAATACAAACAATTTAAAAACATGCAATTTCAATTACGAAAAGGAAGAACAATTACGCAAGCTGTTTGAATGAGATCCATTTTTTCAAATATTCTAGTTTTAATGGATGAAACTAGTGTTTGATATGAAGTTCGGTGGGTCTGTTTAATACTTGGTTTCAACACCATTGATATAAAATACTGCCCATTTGCATTAACTCTTAGTGCTAAGTCATTCCATAAGTTCTCTATTGGGTTGAAATCTGGTGACTTAGCTGGCTATTTCAGAGTTTCAAAATTGTTTACATGAAACCAATGTTTTCAATTTTACTGGAATGAATACTTGCGTTGTCTTGCTGGTGTGTCCAATTTTGCAAAAAACTCTACTTTTGGTAAGATCGGAAATTCTTTTTGCCCGAAACGACTGCAACTGAACCCACACAACTGTAAGCAGGACATTCCCTGATCCTTTCAGAGCCTCCGTCTGATGGACGTTTGCGGAATATTTCTTTTTCTTTTCCTAAATCATGTCAATAGTATCAATAGTACTTGCATCTGTTATTTGTATCCATTGGTTTTCGAAAAAAAGGAATAGAACATTGCCGTTTAAACGGTTAAATATTGATCAGAGATTAATATTGAACTTCCGAACTGGCAAAAGTAGTTGGGGATTTACTAAATTATTTTAAACACTTACAATGTTCAAGCAATGCTGTTTTTTTGGGGAAATAAATGTCCAAGTGTTAGTAAACTGAATTAGAATCTATTTTAAAGTTAACTAGTACAAAACAACGTTAAAATGTAATTTCTAACAATCATGTTTTTTTTGTCTCTACAGGTATTTTCTTTTCCCATTTCATATGAATGTAAAGGAAGCTAAAAAAGTTCACATGACCATGATTGACATGTTAACAAAGGTAATTAACAGGCGCAAAGCAACTTACGATGAAAATAATATACGTGATTGCATTGATGCTTTCTATTATGAAAAAAAGCAAAGAGAATTAAAGAAAGATCCCACAGCTGAATATTTTACAGGTAGGTATTTTTTACTCCTTACTTACCAAAACATTTTCTACAAATTTTAATTAAATAAGCAGCTTTAAACTTTTTCTGACTTGAGATAGATACGTAAGAGTCGATGTACAAATTACCAACATTCAATTAAATGCTTAGCTATTTTGTAGAATGCATTTTGTTTTTAAACAAAATATAAAATTACTATATACTAGCGTAATCCCTGTATCGAAGGTACTTAGATTTTGCATTTCTCATTCTATAGAACGTCTCAGCAGTAAAACATTAATTGTTTCATACGTTACCGATTTGTCATTAGTTATTCTGTCGAATACATATGCAGACATTCCAACTCACTCGGCTTCTTTTTTTCTTCAAAGAAACAAAATTAAAATTATTTTTAGATAAGTATTTTTCATTTTAACCTGTGTGGACAAATACAACCCAAACCCCCTTTTTATTAGTCATTTAATGAAATTAATTTAAATGTGGAAAGTATTAAACCGTTTCGTACTTTGGCGTCCTGACGTTTTAAAGAATCCCTTGGAAATTTGTTAAACATTAATCATTTCATATTTAGCCTGTCGATTCTAGGTACACTATTAGAATGTCGAATATCATACATTTACAGCAACTTATACAATGTATGTTTAATCATATTAACTTAGTCGATTCTAGGTACACTGTAGAATGTGGAATATCATTACATTTACAGCAACTCATACAATGTATGTTTGAATCATATTTAGCCAGTCAATTCTAGGTACACTATAGAATGCCGAATATCATTCATTTACAGCAACTAAAACAATGTATGTTTAAATTTGCAAACTTATTAAACGATGTTATTTCAGATAAGGCTCTGTTGAAATCTTTGATTCAAATTGTGGGTGATGGAGTGCTGGCTCTGGCGATATTTCTTAGCAATTTTATTCAAGCTGCTGTTGTAAATCCGGAAGAGCAAGAAAAAGTCTATCAGGAACTTTTAGAAGTGGTGGGTCCAGATAGAAATCCCGAACTGGATGACAAGAGCAAACTAACTTATACTAACGCCTACATCTCAGAGGTCTTCAGAACATCGGGAGTATTCACCGTCTTGGCAAGCATGGAGTGTAGTAGTAAGCATTGTTTGTGAAAGTTAATTTTTTAAAAATCGGTATTGATTCTAGCTATAAATTAATGAAAACTACGTCATTTGCTTATATAAATAAAACAAAGAAACTGGATTGGTAAGGTACTACTTGATTTAAAATTTCATTCACTAAATTAACTATTTGGAAATAACAGTCGNGTCGAGCACTTTACGGTAGCACAGTTTAACGAGGACCAATACCGCACACCCTCGGTCCCTACGCAGACTGATCCAAGTGGTCACCCACCCGCACACTGACCGCAGCCAGTGATGCTTGACTTCGGTGATCTGATGGGAACCGTGTCTTAACGATCAGTCCACTGCGGGACAGTATTTCATCCAGAGTAAAAACTTTAAGGTCCACATAAAAACTAACATATAAAAAAATAATAAAAACAATTTAAAATTGTGCAATTACAGTTACACAAAGAACAATTATGCAAGATGCTTGCATGAGATTCATTTTTTCAAATTCATTTCTCAAAATTTTTTCAATTGATTCATTTTTTCAATTCTAGTTTTAATGGATTAAACTAGTTTTTGACATGAAGTTCGGCGGGTCTGTTTAACTTGATTTCAACACCATTGATACAAAATGCTTCCCATTTGCATTAACTCTTAGTGCTAAGCCACTCCATAAGTTCTCTATTGGGTTGAAATCTGGTGACTTAGCTGGCCATTTCAAAGTTTCAACAATGTTTACATAAAACCAATTTTTTAAATTTTACTTGAATGAGTAGTTGCCTACTATATCCAATTTTCTCTGCCAAAAAATTCTGCTTTAGTAAAGGTTGACTTTTGGTAAAGACATTTGAAGGACATTTTGGTAAGCTCGGAAATTCATTTCCCCCGAAACGACAGCAACTGTAAGCAGGACATCTCCTGATCATTACAGAGCCTACGCCTGATGGGCACTTACGAAATATTTCGTTTTCTTTTCCAAAATCATGCCAATAGTACTTGCATCTATTATTTGCATCAATGGGTTTTCGAAAAAAAGGAATGGAACATTGTCGATTAAGCGATTAATTATATTGATCATAGATTATTATTGAACTTTTGGATTGGTAGCAGTAGCTGGAGATTTACTAAATTATTTTAATGTTCTTACATAATTATTTTAATATTATTATAATATTCAAAAAATGGGAAATAAATCTCCAAGTGTTAGTAAAATAAATCAGAATTTAATTTGAAGTTAACAAGTAGAAGACGACGTTAAAATATAAATTTTAACTGTCATGTTCATTTTTTTTACTATAGGTATTTTCTTTTCCCATTTCATATGAATGTAAAGGAAGCTAAAAAAGTTCATATGACCATGATTGACATGTTAACAACGGTAATTAACAGGCGCAAAGCAACTTACGATGAAAATAATATACGTGATTGCATTGATGCTTTCTACTATGAAAAAAAGCAAAGAGAATTAAAGAAAGATCCCACAGCTGAATATTTTACAGGTAGGTATTTTTTACTCCTTAGTCACCAAAACATTTTCTACTTTGAAATAAATAAATATAAAGCAAGTACGATGCTTGCAAATTATAATTAAATAAGCAGCTTTAAACTCTTTCTGACTTGGGAATGGATACGTAAGTGTCGATGTACAAATTACCAACATTCAGTTAAATGCTTAATTATTTTGTAGAATGCATTTTGTTTTTAGACAAAACATAAAATTACTATATTCTAGCGTAATCCCTGTATCGAAGTTCCTAGATTTTGCATTTCTCATTCTATAGAATGTCTCAGCAGTAAAACATTAATTGTTTCATACTTTACCGATTAGTCATTAGTTAATCAGTCGAATACATAGGCAAGCATGCCAACTTACTTCGCTTCTTTTTTTTTCAAAGTTACAAAATTTAAACTATTTTTATATTAGCATTTTTCATTTTAACCAGTGAGGACGAATGCAACCTAAACTCAGCTGAACAAATTAATAGCATGTTTAAATAAAATACTAAATAACGAACGCTATAAATGATACTATGCACCATGACCTCAAATACAATACAATAGATAAACAAAAGCCATACAATAGATAAACAAACAGCCAAATTAAACATAAAATTTTACTAAAAAGCAACCTCTTGCTGGGAGCCAACTTCAACGAAAGCTTCGTATTTGAAAACCTAATAGACCTAGAAGACAACCTAGATAACCTAGAAGACAAGGTCATTAGGCCGATTGCTGTGACGTAACAATTAAAGGTACATAACCTCATCTTCATTATAGAAGCTGCATTATCGCTCAAGATGAACTTTTTAAAATTATTTATGACTCTATAGTTTAATCGCCACGTCCTATATAACTACATAGTCATAACTGAATGTTCATCTGACATCAAGGATGCTCCTTTTAATCCATTTGCATTCCTACCACTTCATCGAATTATCACATTAAAGTTCAAAATGAATGGGTAAAGAGAGCAGCAAGCCACCTCAGGCACACAGATATTTTTTTATTTAGTTCAGTATTTTATCCTTTTAAGTAATTTTTTCACCACTACACATCGAAAATTCTAAGTATCATATGAAATGCAACTTTATTACAAATATATTGTGGTAAAACTTTTAAAGAGTTGGCTGTTGTTGTTGTTACTTTACGTCGCACTAGAGCTGCACAATGGGCTATTGGCGACGGTCTGGGAAACATCCCGGAGGATGATCCGAAGACATGCCATCACAATTTTGATCCTCTGCGGAAGGGATGGCACCCCCGCTTCGGTAGCCCGACGACCTGCGCGCGAAATTAAAGAGTTGGCGTAATCATCCTTATTCTGCAAGTTTTGAGCCGCGATGGCTCAGGGGATAGAGCCTTTCTATGAGGTGAACCGGGTCCGAATCCCAGCGATGGCTGGTCGATACGAATTCCGCATCCGGCTTGCACTGACGTGAAATATCCTTGGTGGTAGACGGATCATGGGTAAGAGTCCCCTTGCCGTCAGGCTAACCGTGGGAGGTTCTCGTGGTCTTCTTCTCCATGTAACGCATAGTTCCATCAAAAATTCCTCCCCGATGGCAAGTTTTTCCCGATACTTGATCCAAGAGTTCCCTTGTCTTTTGGATTGAGTTCAAAATTACAAAGCTACGTGGTTGAACATTAGTATTCGTAAACTCAAAAATTGGGTCAGCTGTTCAACGACGGTTATAAAAATAGTATTAAAAAAATCTGCAAGTTTTACTATTTAATTCGCTACCAATTTATTAAAACTTTTGCTGAAAGCGAAGTAGTTCGGATCTCTGCAAGGTGAAAAAAATTAATTATTCCATACATCATACTTTCCGATTGATTTTTAACAAAATAAAAAATTTTTTTTCTATGCTTTGCCTGAGGGTTGTATAAAATGTATGTAAGCTTTTTATTAGTCATTTAATGAAATTAATTTGAATGTTGAAAATATTAAACCGTTTCGTACTTTGGCGTTCTAAAGAATCCCTTGGAAATTTGTTAAACATTAATCATTTCATATTTAGCCTGTCGATTCTAGGTATACAATTAGAATGTCGAATATCATACATTTAAAGCAACTCATACAATGTATGTTTAATCATATTTAGCCAGTCGATTCTAGGTATACACTATAGGCCGAATATCATACATTTCTAGCAACTCAAACAATGTATGTTTAAATTTGCAAACTTATTAAACGATGTTATTTTCAGATAAGGCTCTGTTGAAATCTTTGATTCAAATTGTGGGTGATGGAGTGCTGGCTCTGGCGATATTTCTTAGCAATTTTATTCAAGCTGCTGTTGTAAATCCGGAAGAGCAAGAAAAAGTCTATCAGGAGCTCTTAGAAGTGGTGGGTCCAGATAGAAATCCCGAACTAGATGACAAGAGCAAACTAACTTATACTAATGCCTACATCTCAGAGGTCTTCAGAACATCGGGAGTATTCACCGTCTTGGCAAGCATGGAGTGTAGTAGTAAGTATTGTTTGTAAAGTTAATTTTTGAAAAATCGGTATTGATCCTATCTATAAATTAATGAAAACTACGTTATTTGCTTATATAAATAAAAACAAAGAAACTGGATTGGTAAGATATTACTTGATTTAAAATTTTATTCACTTACAAAATAACTATTTGGAAATAACAGTCGACTTTTTTCAAGCACGTCCTCTTCGACGTCAAATATAAAATTTTCAAACTGTGAAGTTTGAAAATAAGAAAATTTTGCAGTTGTAACTCCTTTCTTCCATTTTACGCACACAAAAAAATAAGTCTAGTAAGTTTTGAAAAATGCGTCCATTATCAAAATCTATAAATTAAATCAGAATCTGTTATAATTTTTTTTTTTTTTTTAAAATAAAAAAAGGCAATCTATTTCGAAATGTCGAGTGATCGATCATGTTATTTATTTCCTCGATTTTGTGAAATAGTCATCATAACTTGACTGTCTTTAGAGCCAGAAATAGCAAGTTTCGACTGCAACTCCAGCAGAAGTTCATTTGGAACATTAAGCGGCTGAGCACGGCGCTTCATGGAACATAATAAATTATTTGCTGCGAAGAATCCCCACAACGCTCCAATTTGCAGATCCCAGCCTGTCGCAACTCGTGCTGGTTGAATAATGCTATTTTTATAATCATTTTTTAGTANTGGCGATCACGAGTCGCCAACAAATTTATGAGAATTATTACAACCATGCAACTGAAACATTTAGCCTTGGAAAATTAGAATAAAAAGTTATAAATAGATTTTTGTTTTCGATTAGAGGCGACAGTGAATTTATATGTCTGCCTAGCAATGAAATAAAAAAAAGTATCCGTTACATTGATCTAGAAGAGAAGAAATAAATATTTTATGTTCGTTTTAAAAGATTAAGTTTTTGATTTATTTTAAATATAATTCTATTAATAAAAATAAGCTTAAGTAATGAAAGATATTTTAAAAGATAGGAAATAAATATGTAATGCCAATTGTGGTATCACTCTCACTTTAAAATGGGAACTTAAGATTGAATACATAAGCGATTATTAAGATCTTGAAAAATCTAATGCTGTTTACTTTGTAGAGGAAACAACACTTGGTGGTTACAGAATTCCAAAAGGAGCCATTACTGTTTATAACTTCTGGTCAGCACACATGAACCCTGATGATTATGATGAACCTGAGATATTCAAACCGTCCAGATTTATTGCCAAGGATGGGCAAAAGAAACCAGATCTTCTGTCACTATTTGGAATAGGTGAGATTTAATCACCCACCCAAGATGGGTAAAAATCTCCAATGGTACAGATTATAAACTTGACGCTATTCAAAGCTTAATATCTCAGCATAATAAGTAATTTCTTTTTAATACAACCATGATGGGTAAAAATCTTCAGTTATAGATTACAAGTTTAATTCTGATCAAAGCAGTAAAGTTCAATAACTTATTATAATTTAGCATCTTTTTCCTTGTTTATTTTTGCTTTACTCCTGGTGCAAGTCGTGCACCCTCATACGTTAGTGTTGGCATAATGTTCAGGTATCGAGATTAAGTTCAGTTTGCAAATTATCATTCAGATTGAAATTTTGAAGGTTGGTAAATTGTTAACAAGGTAAGAAGTGTTTTATAACGGTTCTTTTTTTTTCAAATGACAATTCTTACGTCTTTAAACACAAATAATAAATCAGATAACAAATACACATATACAAGAAATAATACTCAAGAGAGTCTCAAAACACAATGATCACGTTGAGAGCCAAATGGTTTCAAAATACACCTAAAACAGTTCCCTGGAAGTATAGGCAGTCAAGAGCTTGCAGCGCTTCCTACTGTAGAAAACATGATCCATAGCGAAACTTAAAAAAATTATGCTGTTTCCATTCTAATTGTTGCTTAAAGGAAATACAAATGTTTAAAATCTTATCGAATTTATAACATTTAATATGCATAACAACATTTTGTTTGTCAAAGGCGTTTTCTAAATGTAAATTTTTTTAAACATTTGTTGCGATGTGCCATTGTGGAAACTCAGAAGTTAACTAACACATTTTGTGATTTAAGATTGATAATCCCACATTTCATTTTTATGTTTAATTCAAGAATTCACTTACAAGAAGATATTTTCCCCCAATCAGTGCACACTAAAACATCCATATTTGCAAATTTCCCCCCTTTAATATGAGGGTTGACTGGTGACAATTAATTAATTTAATTGCATCGATATGGTGTCCAGTGAGAAGATATTTTCAAATTTCTTGACTTTTCCCTGTAAGTCTGCAAATAATATTTAACATTGAATTTCATTAAATAAAAGAAAACTTTATCAATTAAAATATATAATCAATCAGAGAAAAATAAAAAATACTAACGAACAGATTACTATTATAAAATAAACACTATGTATTTGAAAATTATGTATGTATTTATTCTAGACCTTAAAAAGGGCAGGGTGCTAGAAACTGCAAAAGGCATTATATCACCCTAAAAAGAACCCCTATCACAAAAAGTATTGCATTTCACAAAAATCTGCATAGCTTTTAAAAAACCGAAAATATGCTAAGTTTTTAATCTTATCATTAAAAAAAAAAAAAAATCTTATTTTCAAAGAGATAGTTGAACTTACAAATAATTTTGCAGTTAAATTAGCACATTCTATAAACTGTTTTGAAATGGGCAATTTGAAATGTAAGTAATAATAACGTTTTTAAAATATCGGGATTTCAAAAAAGATAATATAATGGCTGAAAAATGATAAGTAACCATAATAACTGCCGAAAAAGGGATCATAATTTAATATGGATTTGAATTGTAATTGTCGCGAATTGAGCGCGTAAAAAATTAATAACTAAAGCACGAATGCCCTTTTTTACAAGTGCATGGCAACTAAATAACAATAAGGAAGTAAATGAAAGAAAAATCCTAAGGAGAGAAAACAAAGTTTAAGTTATCACAAAGAACATAATACATTATTATAAGTATTTACACACAAACAATATAAATGTATGAGCAATGCACTTGCACTGGAGATTACTATTTCATTGAATTGATTTTTCTTTCTTTTATAGGCAAGCGAGCTTGCATGGGAGAAGGTTTTGCTATGTTACAAGTGTTTCTTTTTATAACAACTGTGTTGAAGAATTTCCGTTTGACAAAACCTGAAACAAAAGTGAAAGAACAATCTGAATTGTTCTTCCTTTTTGAGAAAATGGAAGTATGTGCTCATCCGAGGAATTAACTTTTCTAGGGAAATTTTTATAAAGGTAGTTTGCAGACTAATTTTTATCAAACCATTACTAACAATGTAGACAGTGTGAGGTTTATCATAGATGCATAAAAGTGTTCAATAAAATATCAATTCAAATGTATATTGAATGTTTGCCATTTTAAGCACAATAGAACATAATTCCTATCACTTTGTTGCTATTATGACTATGTTGCCATGACGACTGTAGGAAAATGATGAAAGATATACCTAAATTTCTATTTATTCCAAAATAAAATTTAAATACTTCTAGATCAAAGATTAATGAATTTAATTAGCGCTCAGTAGCTGTGCCACAGCTTATAAACTTAAACTTGTCAAAAAAAAAAAAAATGAATTAAAATGCATAGATCAAGGATTAAAATTTTTTTTAACTGAGAATTGAGCTAACTGGGGATTATACTTTGATAACTGGGGATTATACTTTGTGCTACAAAAATCTATTTGTAAATTTAATTTAAAAAACTATATTAACCTGAATAGCTTTTGTTTTAACAATTGGATTTGTAAGTATTTTAATCTAATGGTTCAAAAGATTAATTAATACACTGTTAAGTAATGAAATCAGACACAGAAATGTTTTTTCTTCGAGTATAAACAAACATTTTTTGTCGGATTAGAAATTTTGGCCATTTATGGAATAGCCACAATCAAGAAAATATAGTTTAGTCTGGAAATCAATTGCAACTTGGATTACTTAATGCTAATTTCAATGTTCACATTTTTGGTCATAATTTAAAATCAAAGGCTGTAAACTTATTAACAACCAGGCAGTTATTATTAGTCAAATTTTTTTTAACTGCAAGACGTATATTTATAACTTTATTAACAGTTTTAAAAAGAATTAACGATATTGGTATAATAGTTTAAGTTATAAAACGTCAAAAATATAAGTTTTAATTTCTTGAGAACTATTCAACCAATTTCGCTTAAATTTTGTCATTTTGAATAAGCAGTTTAAGGTTACCAGGGGAGATTGCGAGCCCAACTCAAAAATCATGAAAATTTCTTAAATAAAATCATTAATGACACATTTAAAAAAATTAATGTCTTTATAAATGTAAAGCATTGATATTTTCACAACATGATATTCTAAATAAATTATATGCAGTATAATTTAAATTAATTATTTTGTACAAGTTTACTTATATCTCTAATCACATTTATTATTCTACCAGAAAAAATATTTACAAATGAAAGAGATGCCAAGCATAAATTTTAGTTCTAATGTCTTTAAATAAAATATACAAGAATTTTTATACATAAATGTGATCCATGATTTCTCGAAACTTCTGGACTCAGGATTTCCGGATCGCGGTTAGCGAAAAATCCTGACTTTTTCCTGGGTGATGTAAAAATGAGTATGTTTTAGAATTCAAATTTTTACTGTTATTAAATAATAAAAATTTATTCCTTCCATAAAACTACCTTTCACTAAATGAATTTCATAAGTGTAAGAATTATTTGAATTATTACTAGTTTTAGAGATACCACAAAAAGCACAATAAGTGGAATTAACATTAAGGAACTCAAACTTTCAACTGTTCTCCTGACTAAACAAATAAGTACTATACTTTAAAATTTTTCTTAAACAGAACAAACAAGGAGAGGAACTATAACATAATATTGCACAATAGAGTTATCATAAACAAGTAGAGAAAAGTAAAATGACAGTGTTCAAGACAATAAAAAACCTTTTAATGCTACTAAGAGTTAACTATAATTCTGAAAGGTCTCAAGTGCTTTAGAAAGCAGACAAAAACGTACTATAAAAATGGTAATTAAATCTTGCATGTAATTCCTTGCCAAAAGTAGCCAAGTCCTATTGAAATAGTACTGTTGCAAGGGGAAAAAATTACTATCCTGTAACGATATAGTAAAACTCCATGCATATTTGTACACTTATTTCCCATGCATGTTAGCACTGATGAGGGAAATGTTTTTGCACTTGAATCACCTGGCAAATGATTGGTTTAGCATTGTATAAAACCAAACTTCTTGAACTTATCATTCAACCATCCAAGTTACTTGAATACAAATACTTAACTAAATAAAATTATTTTAAGAAAAAATATACAGAATAAAAAAAAATTAATCTAAATTCTGCACAGCGGAAATAAATATACATTTTGAAAACTAAATTTAATTTTAGCTTATTTTTGGAATTTTAAATTTTGATTTTTATTAAAATTAAAAACTTTTCCTTTGAAAAAAAAACCCATCTAATAAATTGAAACATTGAAGATAAAAGAACGATATTCACTGATAATTACATTATACTTCTGGGATTTACTTAGTGATAGGTCAAACTCGTACAAAAATATAGATATAGTGCAAGGGGTACAAGCCTCGAGTCACCAAGCCTACACAAAAAGATACTAAAGAAGTTACTCAAAAAATCTAAACATATATGCCAACAATATTACCCCACATTGTTAAAAATAATGCCTCACGCTGAACCGTAACATCATCCAAAATTATTGACAACTTTAAATAATGTGCTTAGTCAAACCACTTTACCAGACATATTTCTAGTTCATCTTACTCTTTCTTTAATGATAAACTGGTACAAACTAAAGAGAGTTAATGACCTTCCAAGATTTCAGAAAACAATCAAACTTACAAAGCCAATACGGTAATTGATCTAGGGTTGTGGCTAAAGAAGATTTAAGTACAACAGGGAAGAACTGTACAGCATTATTTTTCTTTATTCAAAACCTGGTAGAAAAAATTGATTCATAATAAGGCAAACTCCCCAAATGTTTTAAACAAGTTCTTTAAAGTCAGTATGTTTCACTAATTTTTGTCACATTTTATTTTTATTGGTGAATTAACTTTTTATAGCTGTATATTATTTTTAATATGAATTTTTTGTAAAAAATATATAATCCCAGCAAAAGGAAAATGCAAAAAGTGACAAATAAATAGGACTTGTTAATATCCGCCACAGACTCATTTGGTTTGAGAAAAAAAATGGCCTCTAAATTATTATTATAGTCCTGATTATATTATTTTAGACCTGAAAATAATTATTTATAATAAATTTTCAGGTCTACCATAATACTTTAACAAATACAATAAATTTTGTTTTAACAGAAATCATAACTGCGATATTAAAGTTAGTTTAAATGACTATGGGACTACATTAATTAATGAGAAAAGCAGATTTAAAAGATATTTATTTACTATATGTATATGTAGTTTATAACTCTGTGGCAGCTAAGAAAATGTACAACAATCATAGAACAACAAACAGTTATAAAAAAGAACTGTTATGCAGGCAGACAAAAACTTTATGAATAAATATATTTTATATTTTAGCAACACATTTTAACATTTTAATGGACAACATTCTTTCACACAAATAAATAGGTAATTGCTTATGTTTCAGAATAGCATGCAATCATAAAAAAAAAAAGGATAAAGTTGTAAGATCTTTTTTCATCATTTTATGGAATGTTCACAAATATCAGTGAGATTTTTTTAGATAGCTAAATAAATTAGCACAGCTGTATAAATAAACAATTCCTTTTTTGTAAAGTTCATAAAAATATTATTAACAGCAACAATTTCATAAACGCCAAATAAAACTTATGTCTCCATGAAGAATTATATTTCCAAAGAAAAAAAAAATAGAAAATACACTGTCCCGCCAAAAAGAATACACAACTTCTTGAATCATAGGACTTTTTACAGTAGAATGTCATTTTTTCTTCGTAAAAAAATTCTCACGTGTTTCTAATTTTACCAGGAACATAATTTCTGTCAATTGTTGGATCTTGTAGAAACATATGAAGGCAGCGTTCATTTTGAGCCAAAGGATGACCAGCAACTCTGAAGATGAACAAAAAATTTGGTTTAATTCACTTGAAACTAAATTTTAATTAATAGTTAACAACTATAGAGTAAAACACACTTAAAATATGCTAACTCAGCCTACAAGAAATTTTTATGGATTTTCAGAATTTGTTTTTTGATTAAAAAAATAAAATTACTAAATTTTTTCTCTCCAAAATAAGAAAGTTAAAAAAAGAAATATGCCATTTAATGTCCTAATAAAAAAAAATACTAAATTTAAAAAGAAATGTGGAGGCATTTAAAACAAATGATTAAAAATTTACAAAGATTTAAAAAAAAGCCTATCAATAAATCGATTTTTTAACATATGAATAGTTTTTTTTTTTTTATCATGTATAGTTTTGCATTTTCAGAAAGTAATGTGAATGCGGAGATGTAAACTGTCAAGACAACATTTTATGAATTTCTTATATTTGTCATAACACACACAGATTGGTAAAACAAAATTATTTTTGTAATAAACTACGACTATTTTGCTAAAAATGTAGTTAACAATTACTTATTTTTAAAATGCTGTGATAATTTAGTTTTGAAATGAATTAATTACTTTCAGGAGAATAATTTTGTTGAAGCATTCAATTCATGTTCGCGAATAACTTTTTTTCTAAAAGAAAAAAAAAAGCTACATATTGAAAGAAAAATTCGAAATTTTTTTTAAATAAATAAATAATCTTATTTTTGTTATAACTCTTTCTTTAAACCTTCAACTTTTCATGACACAGAATATTTCAAGAAATGCTAGAAAATTATCAAAATCTACAATTTTAAAATTTGATGAAAAAAGAAATTAAGCTGAATACATTGGGGACTTTCTCAGTGTGTCCACAGATGGATTTGCATCAAATAGATAAGAAAAATTAGTTGCATTTGAACTTTGTTTCTTTACAAAACTGATGCTAATGTAATAAGAACCGCATCAAACTAGTGTTTTAACATTTTGAGTTTCACGGTTTTCAATCACTCCTACTATCTTTGCTAGCATTGCTTTGAATCCATGAATTTTATACTCATTATTTACTCTATTTTAAATTTTTTAAATGAATTAAATACTTATTTTTTAATTTCTCATTAATTAAAATAAAATTTAGCTCATTAACAATTCATTTTTGCAAAATTTTTAAGTCAATATTTTTTCAAAATGCTATTTTTTATGTATAACTGAAATACCCATTCCATGTTCACTAATGTTTGGCACAATATTGATTATTCAACTATAATTGACTACGAATGCAACAATATTTATATTTATTTGTCAAACATTAATATAGAATGCATACTTGTTAATGAAGCCTTCTAAGCCTTTTCTTCTATCTTCAATAAATTCTTCATCATATATTCCATCATCTCCTCTTAAGGGAAGTTGTCTTTTCCATGCTTTACCAGGGAGAGGAGGGACAACAATCTAGGAAAATTTTTAAAAAATTAGATAAGCTAGCTGTTTACTGCAGTAAAAACATTAATTTCTTTTAAAATTATTTTAATATAAGGATAAATCAAGAGTAAAAGGTTGTCTGCCGCAATCTGAACAAGAGAGTAAAATCATTTCGTATCGGGAAGAATTGAAATTACTCACCTAATTAATCAATGCGAAATGACAGGCATTCAAGCCTGGTGACTAGAAAGGTTCTCATGATAGCTGGAGAGTGGCAAATCTTTAAGATTTAAGTTTTGCTAACTAATAGGTTAGGTAACTAATTTTAACACTTTTTCTTACAAAAAAGTACTAAAAATAGTGACATACAAAACGGGTATAGTTTAGAGCAGAAGATTTTTAACAGAAATTAAAATTTAGTAGTTTGATTATAATCTAAGTACAGCTTTGCATAAGCATATGCTCAACTGATTTCTCCATAGGAATAAAAAAAGAACGGCACTTCTTTTGTAAAAAGAGCACTTGAAGTTTTGAAAGGGCACTCCCTTAACATTGTAAATATTTATCAAAACTTTTAATATTATGTAATAACTAAATTTTATCCTCAACAATTTTTAAATCTCATACTATTTTATGTATATGCTTCAAAAAGTAATTTTCTCTCATTTTCAAAATAGAAAAATTTGAAGTTCATAAAAACAATTATGCTAAACAACGAACAAATAACTAAGGCATGCTAAAAGGCAATCTCTGTGCATAAAACTAAACTTACAAAAAATTATTAACTGATAAACTGAAATCTTTTTTTTTCTTCTTCTTCCATAATTTAAACGGGAAATTATGTGAAAATAAACATTTAAAGGGGCTTTTTTTAAATTAAAAAAAAAAAAAAAATGCGGATTATTGAGAAAGCCTTGAGTAACACAATTTATGANTGTGTGCGTGTGTATATATATATATATATATATACACACACACACACATTTATTTAGAAAAATCACTTACAAATTTGTTTATATCTCCCACCAAAATAAATAAATACTTATAAAAATCTAACCAGTTTGGATTAATTCTAACAAAGTAAATGTTTGTACAGAGTTGCCACTGATATCTGCAAAAAAAAATTTCCAAGTGTTTTCCCTGCACCTATTATACACAATATATTAGAGTAAACACACATGCACTGCACTCTTATGAACTATATTAGAATAAAGATGTTAGTTTCAGTTGCTGGAAAAACTTGGAGAAAGAAGAAACAGCTCAACATAAAACAAATAATGCTATAATAAATTAAATATAATATAGCTGAACTATCATCTTTAAATATCCTATAAATTGCACTTTGATTGAAAGGTCTGTGTTTATTAGAAGACAAGAATAAGAAAAAAAAATCTGTTTTTTTCTCAATTTGTAAGGAAAAATTCAAAATTCTTTGTTATTATAGCTTATTTTTAAATTCCCTGTATTTTTCCTGGTTCTCCCTGTGGAGTGGCAACCCTGTTGTAATAGTTATCAGAATTAAATGCAAAAACAGATAATTTTATCAATGTGTAATTATTATTTAAACAGAGAATAATTTTTTTCGAAATGGAATATGAATGAAAGTACAGTGTTTTTAAGGGATGGCAGCTTATTTTTACTAATAAGGGCAAAGATGGTGCATTTATGGGGATCAAAGGGCAAGCAGGGTCAAGCTGCCCTTCAAAAGAACACTGCATATAATTAAAGAGTTGTGATGATACCTTACTGGTTAAAACACAGAGTTCTCATTTTAAAGAGATTGAGATTCTTCCTCTTCATGGCAATTTAAAGCAAACACTGATCAACGCTGCATTGCTACCATTCATGCCATAGGTCTAAAGGTTATGCAGCTTTAACCCCCATGAACCCCTGCTCAACAACTGGCTGTTACAGGATGTTTTAATATTTTTAAAACTTAAATAAACAGGTAGATGCGCAAATATTTGAAAATTATAATTCTTTTTTTTCTTTAACTCTTATTATGAAAATTCTTATTGTTAGTGTTTTCATTCCTACCAATACTACACCTTCTACATTTCTTTCTTTCTACCTACTACAGAGCAATTATTTTCATGAAAGAAAAAAAAAAATTTCATTTTATATTGTAACTAATTCTAACCTAAATTCTAACCATTAATTCTTTAATTATTCAAATCTTCAACTATGAATAAAAAAACATATTTATACATTTATTTCTTTTATTTCAAACATATTATCAAAACTTGAGTGAAATTATCTTAACACCTTCCTTCTCACTCCCGTGAAAATGATGGGGCGAGATTTCGCCGCTATTTCTCGCTCCAGTGATATTGACGGGCTGGAGTGTCAAGTAGTAATGCGCCAATAATAATAAAACTAATTCATATCGTTTGCCTGGAAAACATCTTATTTCTCATTCTACACACCTGATGGCAGTACCAGGATATTTTTAAGGTAATTGTAGATAGTTAGTTTATTTTAAACTAGTTACAGCACTAATGAAATACGTAATACAAATACAAAAAAAATTGGCACTTTATGACAGTCTTCTTGAAAATTAACCGATTGTTAAATAAATAAATACAGAACCTTACAATATAGTTTTATTAAAAGTATAAATTCTTAGAATATGTTTAAGTATTATGATAATACAGGATTTTTGCAAATGTAGCATTTTTATCATGTTTTAAAAGGAAACAATACATTTTTACTCTTTAGTCTAAGTATTTTATTGGATCATCATTTATAAAAAACAACCTTCCAATACAAAAAAATGATAAAAATCACATCTCAATTTCCTAAAATTCTATTGCTTCTATAATTCATATAATATTCACAAACGAAAAAGAAACAAAATATTCTGTACCACAAACAAACAAATTTTCAAGAAAAGGTACAAAATTGAGTTCTACACCTACAAGAAAGTTTTTGTTAATAATTAATAATAGAACACATTTAGGTTTCTAAATTAGTATATGAATTCATAAACCTTTTGACATTTTGCTAGAGCTGTCTTTTTGATTGACTTTCCTTGCTGAAAAACTTCTTAACTTTGTTTAAACAAGTATAAAAACTAATAGGGTCTAGACAGCCTATTACACGAATGTTAAGTTATACGGTGCTAAACTTTTTTGGTTGTCAGTTAAAAGTAGTTGAAAATGTCTGATCTCTGTCAATAATCAGTATTAATTTAAAAATGAAGCACCGAGTTACAAAGCTAAGCTGATCCAACTACAGATTTTGGGCAGTAGTAAAATAGTTTTAAAACTATACACTATTTTTTTTTTCGCAATCAAAAATGTTTAAGAAACAAAACAATAGTTTTTATATTTTTAAAGAGTTAAAATTATTACAAAATAATTAATATACCTATATAAAGTAAGTTTGCTTTTTAAAAGACTTTTCGATAATTACTTTGCAAAACAGCATAAATATATAGTGGCATTTAAATCCTGTTGACTTCAAATTGAAATAATTTTGATATCGTTGAATGTGTTAGGAAACTAACATATGATAACTGTTAACTTACACAGTCATTAAGGAAATGTTCTGTTTGAGATGGCAACATCAATGTTTTAACAAATCTGTTTTTTTTTTAAGTTAAAAAAATTTCTACCAACCATAATAAATAAAAATTTCAAATATAATCTATTAATATCGGTGCTAAGCTCTCAAGTCTTGGCAAAATAGCTTAATTCTCCGAAAATAATTTCCATTTTATTATTTTACAATTACCTTGTAACAACTATTTCAATGGCAACACAAGTTGGCAGCTATAGTTGCCCAAATGCATAATTAATAAATAACACATAATGAATTGTGATACAGTGTAAGAAAAAATAGGACAAACATAATTTACATGCAACTTGTGTACAACATTTATTAGATTAGTTAATTTGGCATAATATAAGAAGCAAATACATTGAAATATATAAACATAAAAATGTTTTAAATGTGAGTAGTATACAGGGTGTTTCTAAGCTCATGGACAAAAATTTAAGGGTAATAGAAAACATCTAAAAGAATTTTTTTTTCACTATAGGATAGAGAGCAAACAGTGAGTCACAACAAAGTATCTGTTACTGTCACATTATAGAACGAAACATCAAATGGATAGATACTAAATTAATTTTCTGACAGCTTCAGAGTTGCCAACTTGCTCCGGACAGCAAATAAATATTTTCGAGTTGTAGTTTATTAATTCTTGGTTTAATGTGTGATTCTTGGTTTAATAAATTCAATTTATTAGGTTTTTACTACTACTACTTCTAAATAAATCGAAGGTTTATACAATTCGCCACTTTGTTGCAGTAGTTATGTTACACAGTTCAAAAAGTATGCAAAATTAGCCAAAAATCTGCAAATTTCGGTTTGTATTAATTTAGTTATTTTTTTAAAAAAAAAAATTGTTATGGCACGACCGAAGCAGTTGGCATCTCCGCAGCTTGTGTGGCAAAATTATAAAAACTCCTCAGAAAAGAGATTGCTTGTGATAATGCATTACACATGCATTTAATTTACATTATATTTTTAACAGTTTCTGCAATTTTGCCACATATGCTGTAAAAGAAATAAATAAATTAATACCTCCTCGCGCTTGGTGTGTCATTCTTTCAAGTAACAGTAACTGATACCTCCTAATGGTTCATCGCTTGCTCTCCCCCCATGTAAATTACATGTTTAGATATTTCCAATCACCCTTTAAATTTTTGTAGTCTCAAAACACCCTATACATTTTGTTAGGAGAAAAAAGAAAAGAAAATCTTAAGATAACGTTTTTAAAAGTTTATTGAAATTCTAAGTCAATATAACTTCTAATATATTTTGCCCACAACATGTTATTTATGTTTAGAATTAAAGAACCAGATCATTTAAATTTTTTAAATGCCAATGGTTTTAAATGGCTCTGATTAGAAAGTTTTTTTCTAAAAAAAATTTCAACATAAATTTATGGTCAGCGTAAATACAGGTCACACTAGAAGAATAATCAACATAAATTCACATTACCTTGCTATCTCTTTCAAGTTCATTTCTCAACCATTCAAAGTCACTGTATCTTCTACGTACACTTGAATCCTTTAGTTTAAATACAGGCAAGTTTGTCTAAAAAACATTTACAGTCTTATTACTAATAAGGAAAAATAGTTTAAAAGAAATAATACAATGTAATGAGAGTTTTCCCTAGGAATAAAAAAGGGCAGGGCGCTGTCTTTCAAAAAAAGACTGTCATTCAACACTGTAAAAATTTATCAAAATGCGCAATATTACTTAATAACCGAATTTGACCTTCAAAAATATTTAAATTATACTTTTAACAATTTATGTGTACAGTTCAAAAAATAATTCTCTCATTATCAGAATAAGAGAAAAATTTGTAGTTTATAAAAATAATTAAAGGCAGACCAATAGATAATCTCAGGGCATAAATTTGTTTCAAAAAATTTAAACAAAAACATTATGAATTGATAAACTTGTAGGGTTTTTATACATTTTAAACTAAAAATTATGAGAAAAACACATTTAAAGATGCATTTAAAAAAAAAAATAGTTATTTAAAATTTATTATTAATATCACCCTCCCTCTGAAAAAAAAAACAGGCATATAAAAATTTAAGGAGTTAAGAATAATCCTAACAAAGCAAATATTTGAATCAGTAATCAGAATTAAACCTATAAACAGATAATTTTAAGTGTGTAATTATTTAAACATTGAATTTTTTAAAAAAAAGGAGTATGAATAAAAAGGCAATTTTTCTTTTAAGGCATGAGCGGCTAATTTTTACAAAAATGACATTTATAGAGATCAAAGGGTCAGTAGGCCGGACTGCACTTCCAAAAACGTTTAGTGAGAAACTGATACAATAAAGATTATTATTAATATGCTCATTAGGTTAAAATTATATTTATTAAAAAATGCAAGATTTAAAAAAAGGCCATCAAAAAAACTTGTACACAACAATACTAAAAAATATAAAACTAAGTATGTATTGATCTTGATTGTAACAGTTCGTATAGAGGCCTAAAGCTAAACTCAAAGGGGGTAGTGAGATACATGAAAATTTGATACAAATTTCTAGGGGCTCGGCATTGCTGAGGTTCTAGTTAAAATTCCTTGCAAAAAAATTATTTTTTTTAAAGAATTCCTTAATATCTATATAAAAGCTACTACTTTGAATAAAGGATGTTAAAGAAATTCGATAAAATATGAAAATAAGACCTGTAAAATCTGTATCTAATAGAACACCTAAACTCCAAGCGCTCCACCAAAGATGCACTAGTTACCTCGCAAATTCAAACTAATTGTTTATAATAGATAACTTTGACACTTAAAAAAACATGCTCTAGTTTGTGCAACAATAGGGTTGGCATTTAGTTCAAAGAAACGTCTTTTTTCCAGGACACAAAGAAAAACTGCTCAAAATGGAAAAAAACTAAAAAATCAAATGTTTAGAAGCATTACAAAAATAACTTAAATTTAAATTTATTAAACTAGTACCATATAGTTAAGAGATTTTCCCGACTACTTTTTAAATATATACTATTTTTAAAATCTATATATAAGTCTGTTTGAGTATTCATACTTTTGAGTATTTTGTTTAAAAATTAGTAGTATGATATTTGTAGTTATGAAAATCAATGTTTATTTGTAATTGCATGCATGTTGAGCATGAGATATGGTAATTAGTAGGAATATTAATAGAATTTGATATAACCAAAGTGTATAAATAGCATAAATGTTATTTTAACAGTTCTTTTTAAATGAATAAAATAAGTTTTAACTCATTTACATAAAATATAGTGAAATTACAGTTATCTGAGTTTCTTAAGATATTAAATTTATAATTAATAGTCAAAAAATAAATATCATTTCAACTAGATCACATTTATAAACTGTTTAGAAAATTGATATATTTTATATCTCTTTGAAAAAAGCTTATTTTGAAGCATTTTATGCTTTAAAAATAGTTAAAAATCTGTTTTTCATCTTTGACAAGACAAATGTCAAAACTTTTGATAACGCACAGCAGATAGGTTCAAAGGTTTTTGTCATAGAGAGCAACATTGCCTTTGCGACATTCCAACTTAGAATATTGAATAGCTTGATACACTGCTGTTAACTATTTTAGTCCACCATTGGTAGAAATAAATTCTAACAACAAATTTGTTTCTTTTGTACACTCAAAATATTTTTCCAGGAAACAAAAATACCAGCTAAAAAGTAATCCAGTTCTTAAAATAAATCCAGAATGATATATATTAGTTCTGGGTATACCAGTATTGTTTTTTCTGACAACATAATTCATGAAACTAAAAAACTTTACTACAGCTTTTAAATCATAAATATTCTAATAGGAATCTAATAAAGTTAAGAGAACTACTTTAGAGTTCAAATAATGTTTCTTGCGTACCATTGCCCAAAAGTTACCGAAAACGGGAGATTTTTTTGGCATTAAATCTTTTAATGCATTCAAGTTAGGTACATATCTCTAAACAAAGATAGAAATAGAGAATTCTTCAGAAACAATTTTACTAATGCTACACACAAAGCTACTCTTATAAATCTTGTAATTAGAACTATATACACATTTCATGTTTAAAAAGCAACCACCTGCATACAACAGAAATCATTCATCATTATTTCATAAAAAAGGTCTGCTTTAAAAATATGACTTTTTAACCCTATTGGATAAGTGGCACGCCTTGGATATGGAAGGGAAAAAATACATCTTAATCGTACAAATACTATTAAATATTTAATTCTACAAAATAAGAATTTCCCGATGAGAAAAACTGATAAATAAAACTCCAAAGACCCACAGAAGGGTGTCAAACCATAGCAATGTTGACATATGATAACTAATAATTTTAAACACGCAACAAAACTCAGACATTAAACATCAAAACAAAGAAGGAACTATTTTAATTCTACTCAAACTATATACTCATGATGACACTAACTTTCAGAGTTTAAAATTGTACACCAAAATTACTGTTGCAGTAAGAGCATAAACAAAGCAAACATCGAGAAAGCAGACTTAACACTGTTTGTCACAACATCGTCATTAGCAAATAAAGAAACAAGACAAATAAAAGAAACGTGAATGGATTGGGTATAGTTTAAATTACTTTACTTACTCTTAATCGTACTTCATAATCAGTATAACGTTTGCGGGCTACTCCATGAGTAATTGGATTAAGCACATCAATTTCTAGAAAATTAGCAGGCGCTGCATAAGCATCATCTAAAGTTTGTTTCTTCGGTTGTAGTCTACGAGTAGCATCTTGAGGAGGCCCTTCTTCCATCATTTTTTAATTTGTAAGGCAAATAAAACGAGTACAAATATCGTGAGTAATAATCACTATTATTTTTCAGGAAAATTTAAGAGACAGAAATCTGATTGGGGGCGGTGGAATCATGCCTGTTGCCAACAACGAGCATAAAATATAAGAGTTAAAAGAGAAACTAAACGATTCTAAAACATGTGACGTCATGTGGCTTATTTTTTTTTTCTAATTAAAAGAAATTATATTTGATAATTTGATAAAAATATTAAATTGTAAATGCTATTATTTTCAAGATTAGACGAAAGCCTGATGCAACATTGACTCTAAATTGGTTTAATGGAGTTTAAAATAAAATTGTACTGCATGAAAGGATAACAAAAAGTAAAAAACTTAACTAATTAAATACGTTTTTGAAATTTGAAAAATTTCACTTACATTTAATCGTATTTCGTAATCTGTATATCGTTTTCGAGCAAATCCATGACAAAGAGGATTTACCACTTCGATTTCCAAAAAATTAGTCGGTGCTGCATATGCATCGACTATATTTTGCTTTGGCGGTTGAAGTCTAAGAGTAGTCGGTTTCTCTTCTTCCATCATTTTCTTTTTATTTTTACTACAAATGTCAGTAGAATTATAAATTATAATTCAAGTATAGCCACGACTGTTTTTCTATGAAAAATCAAAAGAACCGTTATCTAAAGGGGAGGCACGCGCAACTACGTTGCCAATTAAAATAAAAAAAAAAGAAAAGAAAATGTATAAGATAGGAAATTATTCTAAATCATGTGATTAGTGATAAGTAAAAAAATCCGTTGAGCGATTGTTGGCTTGTGTGTTTTAGATATAATGAGTTGTAAGACAATCTTTGAGTATAATATGTGTAGAGTTCAGAACTTCCTAGAACTTTTTTTTCCTGAAACTTTTTTCAGTAGCGTACCAGCGGGTGTGGCGGTCCACGCCAGGCAAAATCGCTTATATTAACAACCTTTGCAATAGACGTCTGCATTTTTTTAAATATTGAAGTATATAGTTAGTAGCTCCAACAATGTTATGAATTATCTCTTTTTTTTATCATAATGTTTTATACTGATAAAATATATTTTTTTTTAATTTATCAAATAATTAAAGAGAGCACCAAAATTTTTAAAAGAATTTTTTCTGTGGAAATTTTCAATAAGATGCCCTTTTTATTTTGTTGAAAACTTGAAATGATTTTAAAGTGAGATTTTCTATTAATAAGAAATTGGGAAATAAATAATTATAAATATGGCTATACTAATAGAAATAATTATAAATTTTATAGCTAGTAAAAGCTTCAAGTTACAGTGCCCAATTCAAGGGGCTGCATATTCTACACTCTAACCATTTTTTCGTAATTTTTTTTTTAAATTAGTACAGTTTACGAAATATTTAAGGCTCGAAAATTTATGCCGTTCTTTAAATAATTTTTTTTTTAAAAAATTGTCATTAATTCAATTGTTTTGCTTATAGAAAACGCTCTTTTAACTAATAATATAAATTTTTTAATAATTATTTAATAACTATTTAAATTAAAGATTATTTGATAACAATAAAAAATTAAATAGGGTTACAGAAAATTTTTTTAGCACGAAAAATATTTTATACGCTACATTTTTTTATTATTTGAACATAATTTTGCAAATAATTTATTTTCGTAGATTATTAAAAGTGTGGTGAGGAAAGCATTATGCTTTGGAATAATTTGTGCAGATAATTTCATATTGATCAGATTTATTGTATTATTGTGTTAAATAACTTAATTTGTTTTTATAAAATTTGATGCCCAATTTTACTTTCGGAGAAGTTGTAAATTCTTGTGTGATTTGTAAAACATAAGATTGCCTTTCTAAAACAATGGACCATGTAATCAAAATCGATGAATGGTGTTGAAGTTTAAAATTTAATTAAAAAATATTCCTAGCTATTGGCTGAAATAGTTGAGAGGAATACTATTTAGAAGATAAAGATTCTGCAAAGCCTTTCTAAGATTTCTGCAAAAGAAAAAAAAAATACTGCCTGTAGTTTCTTTCTTTTTTTTGTTTGTTTGTTTTGGAGATCACTTCATAATGGCCGCATTCAATACAATGATGCTGAAATAGGATCCACATGAACGATTGAAAATAAATATTCAATAAAAAAAAAAAAAAGCAGAAACAAAATAAAGATAATTTTTAAAAGGCTAGTGAGAAACAAACGATGAAAAACATCGAAGAAGAAAAAAAAAAAGTTTGATTATTCCTGAAGAAACTTGAAAGAGATTTGAATAATTGTTGTTTTCACCGGTGATCAAACAGGTTTTGATGTTTTAATAAGTCATTATCTAGTTATTTTTTTTGTGGGTTATACTAGGCGTCTACCGACTGGGTATCGATCGAGAAATTAAGAAAAAAAGAACAAAAAAAAGCTCTCTTAGTGGTTCTTTTAATTACCACTCCTTTATATAAAAACTAATTCCTCTTTCAAAATTTTGGTTTCGTTGGAGATATTGTGTATATAAAGTTAATTAGATCAAAAATCTTCAAAAATTGTCAAATTTGTCTTAAAGATCACGAAACTCTCGTCACCGATTAATTTTGGCAGCACAGTTCTACGACACGTGTGCTTGCCCAGTATTATTTTAAAACTTCAGAAATTTTCATTTTACCTGCCTTTTATAAGCTCAAAAAACTTCTTTTCAATGCATTAAAAAAAAGTGAAAAATTTATCTGGTTGATATATTTATCGTTTAATTTCGTCATTATCACTTTCATGTAAGTCATGTTTTAAAATTTGTATTGTTTAATGTTTTTTTACTTATCCTAATTAATTAAAATTCGAACGCAATTAATGAAACAAAATTTAAGTACCGTTATTTTATTAAAATTTAACAGCAGTTTTTTTTAAAAACAATTTGAAATATTTAATTTATTTTTGACAAAGTTAAATAATTTTCATAAGCTCTCTTTAATTCTGTTACAAGTTTTGGCACTTTGGTTTCGTAAGTTTTGGTATCATCACGTATACCATTTTCACCAACATCACGATCACGCCAGAGTAATCTGGATATCCTTCAAATGTATTTTAATATAGTAATTGATTGTAAAAAATTGACAAAATACAAGTATAACTTATTGCAAAAAAATGAGAAGTCCCTTTTAAAAACTATAGCAAAAACCACTATGAAATATTTATAACAAAAAGCCCATGAAGTAAAAATTAAGGATTTATTGAAGTTAAGATTAAACAATGTGTACAAATTTGAAAAATAATGTTGATTTCTCTTGTGCTTCGCGCAAAAAAGTTTGCGCTAGTTAAATGATAGTCCAATTTTACTTACAAAACATAGTCAGTGCCTGCCATTGGAAAAAAAAACTTACAAAACAGCTTTCTAAATGGAATTTGAAACATTGAAATATTATAAACTAGTGGGCTGCGGACCCTACTCCCTAACGCTCGCCAACCCCCAAAAATTGCTACGCAATCTTATATGGTTTGCTTCGCAAACCAAGCTCGTTTCGCTCGTTACTAACTTAGGTACATTGCAAATGCACAAAATTCTAAGAATTCAAAACAATCATTCAAATCCATATAACAACTTTTTTTTTAAAAAAAAATTACATCTTTTTAGTAAATACTAAGTCATTAAAATAAATTTGAATTCAAATAAATGACATGTAATTCGTTAAACCTATTAGAAATGTGCTATAGTATAAAATCTTAAAGCGTAACAGCACGACTGAGACTCATTTTTCAATGAATAACTAATAACAATAATAAAACAAATAAATTCGTGATATAAATAAAAAAGCGTCAAGTAAATTCGCAATATATAAATTCGTGAAAAAAAAAGCGCTTTTGACAAAATACCAAAATAGAGATCTATCGACAAAGACTACTCACTTCTGCCTGACATTTGGTGAGAATGCTCTCTCTGGTTATTTCAGTTTCCGTTTTTAAAAGTGCTATATGTTGAGCCATCTCAACTAGATTTGGCATGTTACATTTTTAGCGGCAATCATTGGTCGATTTTTTAGCGTTGCCATTCGGGGAGTTGTAATGAGGCTTTTTTTTGTCGCCGTGTAAGAGAAATATATAGATATTTTTTAATTATGCATACATTAAAAAACATGAAGCAAAACAGCGCATATTAGAAGAGGCTCTATTGTAATAACGAACACTTTCCAGTAAATATCATTATTTTACTACGCTTAATATGTGTAGGGTGGAATTGACAACTTTCAGACAAGATAGATCTCCCAAATATTTACTGAAGCTCTGTATCTGATGTAATGACTGACTAGAGTGCTCAAAGTTCAACTGCAATTCTGTGCCTAATGACAAATTAGGTTTCAATCTATTCCTGACCACTGCGAGCAAATATTATCGCCGACCGACTTGTTATGAGAATTTTAAAACTAAACTGGCTCTTTACACTAGATGCCTACACAAATTTCAATAATTTTTTGACTGTAGAATTTATTGCAATTTTACTATCAAACAGAATCGACAATCGAAATTTCAATCTCTTTATCAGTGGAGAAAGTGTTTCAGCTTTTTTCCTTTTGATAATGCAAGCTTCAGTTGTTCATGAAAGCAAAATTTAGATCCAAATAGAACTTATCATCGATCAAAATTTTGACTACTTTTTTACTTTAACTAACAAACACAATACTAGAAAGAAAAAAAACAACAATAAAATGAAATAAAAATTGTAATTACCAAGTTTTTGAATTGGGGTAAAAAAAAATACTTTTAATTTTTCTAAATCTAAACTAAACGTTACATAGGATGAATAATAAACTTCCATTACCACCGAAAATCACCCTCATTCTCATTCTTTGTAGGTGATCCCTCTCACCATTAATATTATTTACTGAGGTACAAAATGGCTTGGATCCGCCCTTGATAGTTGGAAAAAATAAAGAGAAGTTGGAAGGCAGTCATTATCAGCCGAAGTTGAAGAAAAAGGGAGAAAAAAAAACATTCAAGTTTATCAAGTAATCCAAAAGGTTTTGATGTTTCAGTCTTGCCTTCCTCAATAGGGGCTCGCTTGATTTCGAAAGCGTTTTTTGCTTGTATACTAGCTAGTTATCCCAAATAGTTATTTGAATTCATTTTTGACAAGGTTTTTTTGATGTAACATACTCTGTACCGATAATAATAAAAGGAATAATCTATTTGCATGCCTATCTCTCTTATAACTGCGAAACTGTCTGTGCAATATCAAGGAGCTATTTCTGCACGCGATTACAGAAATCATTTAACAATTTCAATTAGTCGGTACTGAGTCATGGTGGCTCAGGGGATAAAGCGCTCTCCTCCCAATGAGGTTGCCCGGGTTAGAATCCCAGCGATGGCTGGTCGATACGAATTCCGTAACCGGTTTACATCGACCACAGTTTTGACGTAAAAATATCCTTAGTGGATCATGGGGTTAGAATCCCCTTACCGTAAGACAAGCCGCTGGAGGTCTTCCTCTCCATATAACGCAAATGCGGGTTTGTTCCATCAAAAAGTTCGCCATGAAGACGAATTTCTCCCAATACTTGATCCAAGAGTTCCCTTGTCTTCTGGATAGGATTCAAAATTACAAGGATACGTAGATGAACATTGGTAGTTGTAAACTCAACATTTGGTCGGCTGTTCAACGACGGTTACAGAATTAAATAAACTAAACTGTACGGAAGTGTACGTTTGCTAAATGAATTTTTCACATAGGTTTGGATTCAGGCATTGATGTTATAACAAA